TAAACTTTTACTATTTCATTTTTCACAAATGGCTACGTTAATGAGTTGCCTAGATATTTCTGTTTATCTAATTCATAATACGAAATTGATAATTCATTTATCACAGTATAGATCATATTCGTTTATATCACTATCTGATGCTAAGGTTTTATTGCAGAAATTATAATTAATTCAAAATGTAGAAAGATACACAATTTGCCATTATTTGACTTTTAAACTGTACAAAGTATAATATAATGATCAGAATGCCTGTAACGGGTAGTATTTAAGAAAGAAATATGTGTCGATAAGTCCCATTTTTCAGATATGCCCTTCAGTAGTATTATTGTATATCTCCAAAGAGAGGTTTACATTGTAGTTATCATAATTTGTGGATAATTCAAAAAGCAACATAGAAAATATATATGCTACCATGACGAAAGAATACAGAGTATACATAACTCGCAATTATCCAAAAGAGATTTCAAATCACAATAACATATCTGATATAAAGAGAGGTGGTAATGATTTAATCTCTACATTGTGCCCTTGTTCGTGAGCCCTTGTTCTATTCAGCAAACAGCCCCAAACCGAAACTCCACAACATATCTGATAACACTGATTCAGGCTGTCCCAGTTCTCCATGCGATACTGACGCCCGTTCGCCTATATTTAAAAGGAATCCAGCTCAAGACTAGAACGATTTGGCAAGCCTAGATTGCCTCAATTCTATCCATGAAAGTAAGCATTAATAAAAAAATATTGTTCTTGTATGCTTCAGATTATATTTTGTAGAGACATATTTTATATTTTAACTAGGAAAATTGTACTGACACCGGCGCTGCCCCTATTGAAGCTATTTATAAGAATTTCGAATTGTCGTCCATCGTTCGATGTCAATACATCGATGACAAGTGAGGATATCATAAAGTAATCGTTGATGCCGCGCTACACTATAATAAAAATTATAATCAAGTTGACTGGTGTGTACATTACTACAGTGAACATGTACATGATCATGCCCTAATAATCAAATGCCGTAATGTCAAATACTAATATATTATTGTGTGATGAATTTAACTGGATCAGTGGTAACATGTGATATTAATATTCCATCAATTTCTCTCCTGGTTGGTCCATCCATGTCTACAAAATGAACATAATACAATAAAAATGGAGCCTAGAACAATTCTTAATTTCAGGCTAGGGCTGTGGAAATCTAGACTTTCCCAATCATTATAGATTTGAGTTGGTCTCATTTTTTACATTATTCTCTCGGGTCAACGCCACAGCTCATATCATACACTAACAAGACCAGATTGCCCCCCGCCGGAGCGCCTGGATTTTGGTTATATCATCTAACATGGCCAACTCTGCTCTTAAGTAAACAAGAACCTAATCAGCGAGGGGTCCTTTATCATCCCTATGTGACTTCTTACAAAAATCTGATATCTCTTCCCAAAGACCTGGTTAATAATATATTTTCTGCTGATTATTCGAAACAGAGTGAGTGAGTTGGTACTACATATGTTTACGGTTCTATTTTAAATGACTGCAGCGCTCCATTATGAAAACAAATTGTTTTAACGCCGCTCTCAGCAGTATTCCAGTGATATATGACGCCGGTCTGTTGTATATGAAATAAATGCAAATTGAATCTTGAATCTTGAAAGTTGTAACATTTCCGCTAATAAGTATCACATGCAGTATACAGTATATCAACTGCAATATACTGTATACAACATTCAGTATACAGTGTGTCGCGAGCTCTGCGCTGGGCTGGAGCACACATTTCCTACCCCTCTCCCTTCGGCAAACACCTCATGAGGGTTGCAACGAGGTCACAGGTCAGGCGTGCACTCGTCAGTTGTCTAATGCGGTCAAGAGTAAGATCTTCCGGAAGACCACTGCACTAGAGGTATGTGGATTGTTGATGAGGTACTACGTGTTTGGAACTGGGAGTCGAAGACTAAGCACTTTTAGAGAAGAACTCACAATAAAACGTTATGGACTCGCGGACGGACTTGTGTTTTCATTTCAAGACTTACATGTATCAGGTTGAACTTCTACGACAGATGTAACTTGGTTACCGCTTCCTAACTGTAGCATTAACTAAACTTTACGCCTTTTATACACATTTGTGATGGGGCGACAATGCGACAACGAGACATATTTTGACCTTGAAAATGTCGCGTTACGGCATCGTCGACCTTTTGTAAAATAAAGAAAAGGATTATTCAAAGAGCGACAATGCAAACACGCGACAATGCGACAAATGGCCAATTGTCGCGCTTTTGTTAATTTTGACACGTTTTGCTTGTTTTTGTAAGGGCGTCAATGCGACAATGCGACAATGTCCCTTCCATAGTGATCCGTGCAAATAAAACTGAGTTATGAAATAGAAGTCTGACATGCCAATTAAAAGATAAAGTGTTGCAGCTTCTGATTTCATAGATCTTCAAGATGGATTATCAATAATGGGATGGGTGATGAGTTCAACTGCATGCCGAGTCTATACGTTGTGATTAACAATAATGCTCCGAGTCAATACATTTTGAGGGGCGGTCGGGTAGCCTAGTGGTTAAAGCGTTCGCTCGTCACGCCGAAGACCCGGGTTCGATTCCCGACATGGGTACAATGTGTGAAGCCCATTTCTGGTGTCCCCCGCCGTGATATTGCTGGAATATTGCTAAAAGCGGCGTAAAACGATACTCACTCACTCAATACATTTTGTCAAAATGTATGACATGTATTACGTGAATGAACATATTGTTTATACTCGTCCATGTTTTTGACGGACAATATAATTTACATGCTCGGTAAAAGTGAGGACGGGCATCATTGTGTGTTTCCGTGCTTTGTTCAGGTGAACAATTGACTTGTCCTTGCATGTGTTTGTGACGGGTGCCACTTGTGTGGCAGGATACGCTCACCTTTTCCCGAACACCCGTTGGATGGCCTGAACCAATTCGGATTTTAATCCACCATCAGTCTGTACACCGTGATATAACTGAAATACAGTTGAAAATTGTGTTTAATGCGATAACCGTAGTGTGTAACTGCAACTGTTCAAACGTTGTGCAGTGCTGTTATGTAATATGTAAAAGAAAGCATATTCAATTATCCAATTGATTTGAATAGTGCGTCAGTGTATTTTATGAACGCCCCAAACCGTAATTTAAACACATATAATAACAGATCATATACACGCATGGTGCCTTGACTTACTGCTAACTTTAATAGGCCATCCCGGAATGAAATAGTTCCCCCCCCCCCCCATGTTTTAGTATGTTTACAAGAAATATATTCCAAACAATATCCTCATTAGATGAGAATTACCTCAGTAAGTCAATTACAATGACAGAGCGTCGTAATACATTTACATCAAGTACAATACGTCAAAATGGCCGACACCATAAACGTGACGGGAGATATTTCCGAAGTTGTTAATTAACCAGTGGCTATTTCAAGCCTTTGTCATCACTGATCAATTGGCCGATCGTTGAAAGGTGATTTTAAAGATGTGTCAAATAGATACTAAGGTAAATTCATAGATTGCTGTAGATTGTCACTACGATAGTTTGGATGTTCTTTTCGTTTGTTTTTTCTCTGGGATGGGTTGTAGCGAGGGTATCCTTAAACGGGCATGCAACCACGCTTCTGTATGAATTCGTACCAGGGAATTCCAAGGGTTTTCCCCAAGGAATGTGGAAGTAGCCAGTGTTTACGCCATTTCAAGAATACAGTCACGTGAAGAGCGTCATGTGACCGACCTCTCGTCCTAGTCGTATATCTTGTAAACTTCACATTAAAAAAATAGTTATTATTATAACCAAATGAAATACAACCCATTATTCGATAGGGGTAACTGTTCATAGCCGAGGGATATGTTACCACAATAAACTTGGTAACATTGTTTGGTTTGACTTCTTGGCGCGTGCCTGAATTCCATTAACATGTAACATATCCTAAAACTAGCTTATCAGCAAATCTCGCTGCACTGCGCGCGACAGATACTAGAGCAAGGCATGCCAGAAATCGAAACCTAAAGCTTTCGAAAGGAAGCCTTAGGAATCACGTGCGTTGGGGGACCAGCGCCATCTGATTGGCCGTTAACAGGTGTACAAGGCGGAGCAAAAAGCATTGTTTTTCCGTCGATTTTTCGCTTGAAAAACTCGACCCTTTTCTGCACACTTTCTAGACGCTCACTAATTAATCAATTTTAATGAATTTTTAGTCGTTTTTCCGTCCAATGACCATATACGGAAAAAATGTGCAGTGATTCCTGTTAGCAAACCCGGTTACTCTCCCAATGTCAGTCAACAGATTGAGAGGTACCGAACCTAAGGCACCGAAAACAACGGGGAGTCGGACAACTTGGTACTTGGGTTGCAGGCGTCACATTTTGAAAGCGAGGTCCGTATATTTGCCATGTTTTTCTTGAATCTTATCAAAAACATTAGTGTCAAAAGGGACAGAAAATTCAATAATATATATATGATTTCATTGGATTTATAAAAAAGGACAAGATCAAATTTGTTGGCCTGGATCCGTCAAAGGCTGTAAATTGGCCTATTCCAAAGACTTTTGTGTTTGTCTTTTTCCATGTCGTCCTCTACATATTCCGGCTCGTACCATGGGTGGACCAGTGTGTCAAAACCACAAGCATGACGAAGACGGTAATACAATATCGAGCTACACCATCATGTCGCTTAAGATACTGTATTTGTGCCAAAGCTGGGCATCCACTGACAATGTGTTCGACATTCCCATTACGTTCATTAGATATTTACCTTTTCATATTTTCATTTTGATGCAAAATCACACATTGACGGTTTCGAGAGGGAAGTGACTGGTTCTGAGCAGCGACCAGAAAGCCTTCGGTTTCACTTTTCAGGTCAGCCGACCTCATCCAAGCGAAGGACTCTGCAGCGTTGCTGATCTTCTCAACACACTGCACATAAAACTCGATGCAGTGGTCGTTCCGATTATTATTAATATTGTTATTATTATTATTCCAGGGAGGCCCCTACATCTTTCAACTCCTTGACTGGTACATAAGTGCTTTATCCGTCTTTCTGTTCTGCACACTGGAATGTGTCTCTGTGGTCTATTTTTACGGTGAGCTTCACCTCAGAGACATAGCACATAATAACATTCGCTGGCTCTGTGGCGCCACATAGTTATGTGGTGGTAGACATTTACGTTTTCGTGAGGATAGCTGTATCATGGATACCTCTGCAGCGACGGGGTGACAAGTAAACTTATTCAAGAGTCAGCTGGAGACACGAGAAACATTTTGAAAATGAAATGGAATTAGATATATTTCTTTCCATCAAATGACACAGGGACTTTTTTAAGGGAAACATTTAACCTTTTAGGCGGTTAGATATACATACAACGTACGATTATCTGTACAATTCTTAACGATATCTTTTTCATTATGTGGATTTTCTCAACCTGTCACGACGCAGATGTCTTGTGGTTCTTGAAGAGTCATTGTAAACATTCATTTCTGTTAAAAGTAGACCTCCATGCACCCAAAGCACCAACAACCCAATCACTGTAAAGCACATCTTCCGACAACGTTTTGATACTGTTAATGTCTGATCTCTTTGGAAAGGGCTCTAACCATGTGAGTTTAGCTTATTTAAAATAAATAAATCTCTGTGATAAAATCTATAGTTTTAGACTTGAATGTGATATTAGACTGAGTATTAGTGATATTAGACTGAGTGTTAGTGATATTAGACTGAGTATTAGTCGTCTACGGCACCACTGTTATTGTATTTGTACAATGTCATATATTTCTGCTGTTAGTCGCAGAAATAATCCAAATTATCGAAGTAATACTCTGAATTTCCAGGTGTAAAACAAATGGGCAAGGATGTTGAGATGATGCTTGGGAAGCCGCTTCCGACAATTGTGAAGATCCTATGGGCTTTTGTCATTCCGGCAGTGCTCCTTGTAAGTCTTTGTAGTTGGTTTTAAAATGTCTTTTTGTCACTGCAAAATTGTGTCGAACCTTTGTGGCTGGCGATCTGAAACACTCCTCATCGAGCCCTAACAGGGCACGATTTAAACAAACGTTCCTAAACGTTTTTAACACATTTTTCGCCAATAATTATAAAGTTTTAGTTACTGATAATCGACTCGTGGTCGTTGTTTATGGTAAAAATAAAGCACTGCAGGAAGAATAAACCATTCGTGGCTGCGCGCCGCATGGTTTATGCTCCCTGCAGTGTTTTATTGTACGATAAACAACGATCACGATTGCTTAAATAAATGACGAATTGTATTCTTTGGTCAATTGTCTGCACAACATTTACATTGCGAAGCATAATAGAGTTGAAAACAGGGGCTTGATGTTTTTTTTAAAGAATTCCCTCCCCAGCCAATAAGCAATTCGTGTTTCTCCCTTATTGTTTCAGATGGCCTTCCTGCTGACTCTACTGCGCTACCAACCTCCAACCTACGGCAAGTACAGTTTCCCCGGCTACGCCAGCGTCATCGGCTGGTTCATCGCGTCAGTGTCCATCATCCCACTGCCAATATACATCATTCTGGCTGTCAAGAAGCACATGGGTTCACACACATTTACAGAGGTTAGTGTCAAGTCCAGACCGCCTCAGTGGTCTAGTGGTAGAGTGTCCGCCCGGAGAGCGGAAGGTCCGGGGTTCGATCCCCGGCCGCATCATATCAAAAGACTTGAAAAGATGGTACTTGTTGTTACCCTGTCTGGCGCTCGGCATTAAGGGGCTAGAATAGGGACTAGTCGGCTCGAGTCAGTATACCGTGCTTGAGTGGGGTATTCATGTTAAACTGCGGCGTGGTATCTCAGTGAGCTAGCACTATAAATCGGCATTAGTCCGAATTAGTACAAGCACACACACACACACACACACACACACACACACACACACACACACACACACACACACACACACACACACACACACACGTGCATGCATGTCGCCATATAAGTGCAATAATCGTGGACCTCACCTAGTATCAAGTCCATGATCCCGCTGTCACTATACATCATTCTGGCTATGAAGAAGCACATTGCTTCACACATATATAAAGACGTAAGTGATCATCAGCTGTTTGGAGGCTTGCATATGTATCCCGGAAACATTCCGGGTAAGAAAAGATCCCCAGCTACCTTTGCCTGTCGTACCCGACTTAATTGATCGGTGTCGTTGTCGATTGCGTGACATCATACTCCGAGGGTCGTTGCTCATCACTGGTTGATTTGGTCCAAACTCGTTCCCCGACGTTGGTTGTAAAAAGCGGCTTTATGAATCGGTCGCTAGGACGGGTGACTTGGCTTGGATCGTTGCTAATAATACTTTTCTGGACAAGATTCCAATATTTACAGGTCACGGTCATGTAGCTGGAATATTGGTGAGCTCAACAACAAATAGACAATGATAGCACTGTTGGTCCCCCTCTGTTGGCGTGAACATGTGTCACATGCTCATGACACACAAATTAGAAGTGAGAAGAGAATGAGTTGGAAGGAACTTATTGTTAACTATATTTACCCCTATGATTGAATAGGTCCCATGCTTGTAATAGTGAGTGAGTGAGTATGGTTTTTCGCCGTTTCTAACAATATTCCAGCAGTATCACGGCGGGGGACACAGGAAAAGGGCTTCACACATTGTACCCATGTCGGGAATCGAACCCGGGTCTTCGGTGTGACGAGCGAACGCTTTAACCACTAGGCTACCCGACCACCCCCATGCTTGTAATAAGAAGCGACCAAATGGATCGGTTGGTCAGGCTATGTTCATTGGTTGATTGTGTGTCATCGTACTCTGATGGCGTATAACGTTACTCATGATATCCTCCATCTGGTTGTCCACTCCTGATTCTCTACAGACTGACTTCACTCATTGTATTTGTGTTGGGAATGGAACGCACGCCTTCGGTGTGACGAAGTAACGCATTACCCATTCCACTAGGCTGCAGCCCCAACCCTTGTGATCATATACTCGTGTACGTATGTTACCTTTCAGAGTATCCAAATGGCTCTCCGCCCCGAAGATGCATGGCGTCCATCAGATCCTCTCTACAGGAAGGCGTACAGAGAAAACCTTGTAGATGCAAAATATTCCTTTAAGGATCACATCAAAAGTGTATTTAGGAAGTAATATATAAGTAGTATCTATCAAACGCTTGTACAATGTATTTGATGGAATCATCTATTGTGCGAAACCTACATATGAACTGAAAGCCTATTATGCAAAAGTGCAATGTCATTAGGTTTTCAAAAATGCATGACTGGCTTTGCTGGAGACAAATTGCCATTACCTTGTACAAAAGGTTTTACATTTCATCTCTGTCAAAAATCATCATAATCGATATTTGTCTCATTGTCAGTGATCGCTCTAATATGCTATTCAATCCAAGCCAATGGTATCTAATATCGTTCTTTTACTTTATCAAGATGCACGATACATAATTATGCCGTGTCGAACATCCACTGACATTCATTTTTAAGCGACCATGCGGGCCACGGTTGGTCCAGTCGCACTGTCGTGTATGACTGAAACACTATTAAAAGCGACATCATACTTGTTTCTTTCTTATATTGCTGCTTATCAATATATGCCATTAAATGTTACAATTCATGTGTCAACTTTTCTCTCTGTGTCTCTCTTTACGTATCAACCACAGATTACGTACATTACATAACAACCACTGATGACGTACATTACATAACAACCACAGATTACGTACATTACATAACAACCACTGATGACGTACATTACATAACAACCACTGATGACGTACATTACATAACAACCACTGATGACGTACATTACATAACAACCATTGATGACGTACATTACATAACAACCACAGATTACGTACATTACATAACAACCACTGATGACGTACATTACATAACAACCACAGATTACGTACATTACATAACAACCACTGATGACGTACATTACATAACAACCACTGATGACGTACATTACATAACAAACACTGATGACGTACATTACGTAACAACCACAGAATACGTACATTACATAACAACCACTGATGACGTACATTACATAACAACCACATATTACGTACATTACATAACAACCACTGATGACGTACATTACATAACAACCATTAATTACGTACATTACATAACAACCATTGATGACGTACATTACATAACAACCACTGATGACGTACATTACATAACAACGACTGATAACGTTCATTACATAACAACAACTGATGACGTACATTACATGACAACCACTGATTACGTACATTACAGAACAACCATTGATGACGTACATTACATTACAACCACTGATGACGTATATTACATAACAACCATTGATGACGTACATTACATAACAACCACTGATTACGTACATAACATAACCACTGATTACGTAATAACATAACAACCATTGATGACGTTCATTACATAACAACCACTGATTACGTACATGACATAACAACCACTGATTACGTACATTACACAACAACCACTGATTACGTATATTACGTCACAACCACTGATTACGTACATTACATAACAACCACTGATTTCGTACATTACATAACAACCACTGATGACGTACATTACAAAACAACCATTGATGACGTACATTACATAACAACCACTGATTACTTCCATAACATAACCACTGATTACGTACATAACATAACAACCATTGATGACGTTCATTACATAACAACCACTGATTACGTACATTACATAACAACCACTGATGACGTACATTACACAACAACCACTGATTACGTACATTACATAACAACCACTGATGACGTACATTACATAACAACCACTGATGACGTACATTACATAACAACCACTGATGACGTACATTACATAACCACTGATGACGTACATTACATAACAACCACTGATGACGTACATTACATTACAACCACTGATTACGTACATTACATAACAACCACTGATGACGTACATTACATAACAACCACTGATGACGTACATTACATAACAACCACTGATGACGTACATTACATAACAACCACTGATGACGTACATTACATAACAACCACTGATTATGTACATTACATATCAACCACTGATGACGTACATTACATAACAACCACTGATTACGTACATTACATAACAACCACTGATTACGTACATTACATAACAACCACTGATGACGTACATTACATAACAACCACTTATTACGTTCATTACATAACAACCACTGATTACGTACATTACATATCAACCACTGATGACGTACATTACAAACAGAAGCGGCTCACAATATGAGAAGCTCCAGATTTTAAAGATTTTCTCTGAAGACCACGACCCAATCGATCGTCCATCTGTGTTGAGGTTTTGTGTACAAAAAATGTATCACGTGCATCAGCAATCTTAACAAATATTTCTCATGCAAGAGAAAACAGATGATAAGTAACTAAATATTCTATTTAAGGAATGACTTATACGTGTTGAACACAATGAAGCTAAATTGAAGTTTGAACTTGTGGGAAGTCAAAAGCGTCTTTAGTTGGGTCTGCAAGTCAACACCACGCTTCTAAACATACACGCCTTTGATATTACAATCAACTGTTCATAAAAAATCTAACTGGAGTATGTCACGTCGAAAACAAACTCCTTGTAGCGACGGATTGTTAGAGACTGTGACCTGAGCGTTTGACATTAAGTTGTTCGTCAAGGCGGGAGTCGTACAATCGAGAACAAGCAGTTGCTTGCCACGAGTGCTTGTTGGAAAGTCCTTGGCAACCCAATCTCATTATAATCAGACCTTAGTTCTCGCTACCGCTAAACAAAGATCTGAAGACATCCCATCAGGGGTCACGTCAGAACGACCTTTCATCCGACCAATCAGTGCGTCGCTTACCAGATTATGAAAGTGACAGTCGGATTGCGATTTCTAATCATGCAATCTCGAAAACTTTAACATGGGGTATTCCGAACGATAGTTACGGGTTAAACGACTGAATCATTACAATCTTGACCATCTATTAGCCATTCAAGAATGTTGTTTTTGTTCAGGTTTCAATTTTGACATCGAGAATTTGTTAAAATATGTTTCGAAGCGTAGTCGCCAATTTGAAATTTGTGCCGTAAAGCACGAGAAAGCTGCCTTCTGATTAGTCATTCCATTGGTCGGTAAGTAAACTATTAAAATCTAAAAATGAGACAACATACAAATATCATTTCCGCTTCAGAAAACTCAATCACCTGGACAGACAGAAAATCGTTGGCACTTGTCTAGTTCGGGTGTATTGCTACTCTTAAGACACACCCAACTACCTGCTAAATATTTCCACAAATCACAGTGGCTTAATTAAACCGATTCATAGTCTATGGAGTTTGGTAGGTATCAGACCAGATGTGTTTACGCAGTACAAATGAACGATATACAACGGACTAAAAGTATTACCTGCAACAAAGTATGACCAGTATTAGATTTACCTCAGGGACGTGAACTTCTGGTAAAGTCGACCCAGACATTTTTTTAGGGTGCCCGACGTTTGTTTGACAATTCTGCTACAATTGTCATTATGGAAACGTTTTTTGTCACTTTTATTTGGAATAAGGCGCCGCGATTCGCTGTGCAGAGTTGCGTCCCTTGGGCATGCCAGAAACCTATGATTGTGGTTTTCGAATCCCGATTCGCCCCGATTCTAGGTTTGTCATCATACCCGTGCTCGTGGGTTTCACCGAAGTGGTAAACGTCTGAGACCTGCATCACTCTGGGCTTTCCTCCCACATTAAGGTGACACGCCGTGATATAACTGGAATACTGTTAAAAGCGGCGTTAAACCCAACTCACTCACTCACTCACTCATACCAGAGGGAAGAAGCTGAAATCTTTGTCATGCCCAGTTCGTTCTTCAAAATGTTCTCAACTCTAGTTTGAGAGATGCCCACCGTCTTGGCTATGGTGCGTGTTGGGAGTCATATCCAGAACTCCACTGCCCACCTTTTGACAGTGGCAAAGGAAGGAAGTCATGATCAGCCTTGATAACCTGTCAGCATGAATGGCTGTTGGAGTTAGCCCTTTCAGTTGGGATACTTTGTGACGCCACGGTAGCCAATATGATGCTTGGTATACAATGTATATTTGGTTCTACTGCAGCCTGTATATATGACAAGAATTGCACTTAATACTTAATGGTAATACAAACTGTTCGTTTGTTTGTTTGCTTATTCTTGTTCATACCCGCACTCAGCAATATTCCAACTATATGACAGACGATCTGTAAATAATCGTGTCTGGCCCAGGCACCTTAAATTCGAACCAATGACAAGCTAATCCTGGTAGCTAAGGAACACCACTCTCATTACTAGGTTGTGGTGTCCTTGGTCACTGGGTCTCCCGCGCTTCAACACTCAGCATCAATACATCATGCATTGGTTCGGTAATCACGACTCCTTAATACTGATTCATGAACAGTGATTGGGATCTTTAAGTCTTCGAACATCTGGTCAGTCTTCGAATTCACAAAGATTTTGTGATTGCAGGTCCACAGCTAGCTATGCCTGTCGTTATCACCTTCAACCATAAAATTCTATCGTTTGAACCATAGTTAAGATTGCAGAACAAAGTAGTATTTGTGCCTTTCAACTCAACTGCGTCATTGTCCCTCAAAACCCCCTGAATTCATACAACAGTAGCACAGACTTGTCTTATTGGTACGGAGTGCTGATTTGTATCTTATCCCCATCAAATCATATGTGCCTTTTCATCATTCGGCTCGCAACTTTCATATTGGGAAACAAAAGTTTACTTACTTGTATATTCATGGATATGTGTTCTTGTGTGGACGCCAGGCTGGTGACATATGATTCTAATGGGCCATCAACATGCAATGTATCGAGAGTATGAAGTTGATGTATGTTAACCCATTTTGACAATACAGTGTGAGACAAGATGGCGTTGCCGCGGAGGTTGTGGTTCCTCCTGCTGTGTGCCTTGCAACCTAATGACATTAAGGGTAAGTTTTACTATCGTCTATAGCAAGCATAGAGAGAATCTCACCAGAGTGTCTTTTGATATCAAATATATCAACACGAGTTGTTAAAAGTGGGAAAACTCCGAGGCTTGCCGAGGATTTTTTCCACTTTGATCAACGAGTGTTGATATATTTGATATCAAAAGACACGAGGGTGAGATTTTATTTATCATCCAACATCATTCTTCCAACTTTTTCAGTTTGTAGACTGTAACAAGCAGTGTCTTAAGTGTAAAAAGTACTGCTAACAGCTTCAGTAGCAGAGCCATTAGTGATGTCATTTGATTGTGACGTCATTGTAACCAATGACGTCACAATGGTCTGCAAAGCATTATGATGCAATTTCATTGCAGCGATATCTACAGTGTAAATATCGCTTAATCTCACCCAAGCGATATCTCCCGTGGGAGCCAGTTTTGGATGATAAATACTGTTATCATGTTCGTATTTATATTAGATTCATTATACCCCCGACAAAATGTCGGGGGTATATAGTTATACCAAGATTCCGTCCGTCCGTCCGTCCGTCCGAAAACTTTGTCCGCGCGATTTCTCTTAAACTATTCAGTGGATTCATCTCAAACTTAGTACATATAATCTGTGTCATATGGAGGGGTGCAGTCGAAAGAAAAAAAATGTTTTTATTAATTTTCCATTTTTTTATGAATTTTTCAAACCCTAATGTCCATCTGAAGACTTTGTCTGCGCGGTTTCTCTTCAACTATTCAGTGGATTCATCTTAATCTAGTACATATAATCTGTGTCATATGGAGGGGTGCAGTCAAAGAAAAAAATTGTTTTTATCAATTTTCCATTTTTTTATGAATTGTTCAAACCCTAACGTCCGTCCGAAAACTTTTTCCGCGCGGTTTCTCTTAAACCTTTCAGTGGATTCATCTCAAACTTAGTACATATAATCTGTGTCATATGCAGTGGTGCAGTAAAAGGAATTTTTAATTTTTTTATTAATTTCCATTTTTTTATGAATTTTTCAAACCCTAACGTCCGTTCGAAAATTTTGTCCGCGCAATTTCTCTTAAACTATTCAGTGGATTCATCTCAAACTTAGTACATATAATCTGTGTCATATGGAGGGGTGCAGTCAAAAGAAAAAAAATTGTTTTTATTAATTTTCCATTTTTTTATGAATTTTTCAAACCCTAAGTTAACCCTATCCTACCCTAACCTATGTTGCGGAGATCGAATCCTAGATTCTCCTGATTATGTTACTAAGTTTGTTAGCAACATACCCATGTGCCCATGTTTGACAAAACTGTATAAGTAAATACACAGATGCAAGCTTTCCTCTATCATCAAGCGTACACATCTTGAAACTGTATAAGTAAATACACAGATGCAAGCTTTCCTCTAACATCAAGCGTACACATCTTGAAACTGTATAAGTAAATACACAGATGCAAGCTTTCCTCTAACACCAAGCGTACACATCTTGAAACTGTATAAGTAAATACACAGATGCAAGCTTTCCTCTAACATCAAGCGTACACATCTTGAAACTGTATAAGTAAATACACAGATGCAAGCTTTCCTCTAACATCAAGCGTACACATCTTGAAACTGTATAAGTAAATACACAGATGCAAGCTTTCCTCTAACACCAAGCGTACACATCTTGAAACTGTATAAGTAAATACACAGATGCAAGCTTTCCTCTAACATCAAGCGTACACATCTTGAAACTGTATAAGTAAATACACAGATGCAAGCTTTCCTCTAACATCAAGCGTACACACCTTGAAACTGTATAAGTAAATACACAGATGCAAGCTTTCCTCTAACATCAAGCGTACACATCTTGAAACTGTATAAGTAAATACACAGATGCAAGCTTTCCTCTAACACCAAGCGTACACATCTTGAAACTGTATAAGTAAATACACAGATGCAAGCTTTCCTCTAACATCAAGCGTACACATCTTGAAACTGTATAAGTAAATACACAGATGCAAGCTTTCCTCTAACATCAAGCGTACACATCTTGAAACTGTATAAATAAATACACAGATGCAAGCTTTCCTCTAACACCAAGCGTACACATCTTGAAACTGTATAAGTAAATACACAGATGCAAGCTTTCCTCTAACATCAAGCGTACATATCTTGAAACTGTATAAGTAAATACATAGATGCAAGCTTTCCTCTAACATCAAGCGTACACATCTTGAAACTGTATAAGTAAATACACAGATGCAAGCTTTCCTCTAATATCAAGCGTACACATCTTGAAACTGTATAAGTAAAATTAATACACAGATGCAAGCTTTCCTCTAACATCAAGCGTACACATCTTGAAACTGTATAAGTAAATACACAGATGCAAGCTTTCCTCTAATATCAAGCGTACACATCTTGAAACTGTATAAGTAAAATTAATACACAGATGCAAGCTTTCCTCTAACATCAAGCGTACACATCTTGAAACTGTATAAGTAAATACACAGATGCAAGCTTTCCTCTAACATCAAGCGTACACATCTTGAAATAAATGAAATACCTTTCAAAATGGCTATAAACCAAACACACTCACTCACTTATACACGAGATGGCCAACTCGTCAACCGCCAAAAGAAATGCGAATACCACAGTCACATGATGGTTGATATATGAAGACTTTCTCATAGTCAAGAGATATTAGATTGGTTCGATGCACGAACATACAAGTATACTGTGTGAACCGATGCTCATGAACGCATTACATGTGACGTCATAGATCCATGACGCGAGGTGCATCTTTTGACTCATGCGGGATTAGCGTGTAACGTTTGGAAATCATGTGCAGCATATCGTGATAAGAATAAAGACTCTGTGGTAATTTGACTGATTCTTAGTTTTGTCATTAGTTGGTACACATTGGAAACGTAAAACTTTTCGATATGTTTCGCGTTTCTTTTGGCGGTGAGTATATTACCAACATAATTAAAAATTGACTTTCACTTTGTGCTTGTTCATGTTTTGCCCTCACTCTATGAAGGTACATACTCCAATGAACTCATACAAAGTGAAAGCCAATTATTATATTTTGTATCGCTATTTGATACCTCGAGGAATGTTCTACCTAATTTCAATTAGTATATGTGCTGTATGTTTACAGCCACGCAACAACCAACTGTAACGTGGAATAAAATAGTTCATGCGAATGTATTCTCAATTTTCTCTGCAGGAACATATTTCATCATTAGATGAGAAAGGTCTCGATCTGTTAAGAACTACCTCATTTAGTCAGTCACAATGACAGCGCGTCGTAATACATTCACATCATATTCAGGACGACAAAATGGCCGACACAACAAACGTGACGGGAGAGATATCCGAAGTTGTTCATGAACCTGTGGCGTTTCAAGTGTTAGTCATCATTGATCAGTTGGCCTATCATTGAAAAGTGATAATAAAAATGTGTCAAGTAGATTTATAGATAGTTCTAGGCTGTGACTTACCAGTCCAGACACAGATCGAATCCAAAGTGTCAATGTGCATCTCAATGTTTGTTCACTGGGATGGGTCCGTTTCGTCGTTTAGGGGATATTCTTGAACGGGTATAAAGTCAAACTCTCTAACTCCCCAAATTTATTCTGAAGCGCTTATTTCAAGATTAAAAGGTCTAAGTGATCAGAAAAAACACACTTTTGTATATATATTCGTGCAAGGGAATCCCCAGGGTTTTCCTCAGGAATATGGAAGTAGTCCGTCAGTGTCAAGAATTCAATCTTGTGAAAAGCGTATGAACGTCAAAATGTGTCACACACTTATGAACGACAGTTTCGCGGTCATATGACCGACCTCTCGTCCAATGGAAAAAAACAAACCATTCACATTAAAAAGAATACATTCAGTATTTTATATGCTCACAGTAACTTTTGGTTTTAAAATGCCTGTTTGATATCCTCACGTGAGATAAGCAAACATGAACTAGCAATCAACACTAAATGTCCTCTTCCGTAGTCGGATCTTACGATAGACTCCGTGGAGATTCCGGATTAGAATTGATCCACAGCAACCTATGCTTGTCGCAATGCAGGTTTGGTTGCTTGGTTGACTGCCTGTTGCACAAATCTCTGGTGTGTCTGGTTCAGACGGTCTTACTGACAGGCCTCCCTTGAATAGGACCACCTCCGTGGTCTTGTGGTAGAGCGTCCGTCTGGAAAGCGGACGGTCCGGGGTTCGATCCCCGGCCGCGTCATACTAAAAGACGTCAAAAGATGCTACTTGCTGTTATCCTGTCTGGCATTAAGGGACTTAAGCCATGATTGGTCGGCTTGGAGTCAATATACTGCATCTGAGTGGGAATTTAATGTTAAATTGCGGCAAAGCACTGTAACTCGGCATCAGTCCGGACTTGTACAAGCAGACACACACACACACACACACACACACACACACACACACACACACACACACACACACACACACACACACACACACACACACACACACACACACACACACACACACACACACACACACACACACACATCGTTATATAAGTGCAATAATCTTGAACGCGATGTTAAACGCCATTTCACCTCACCTTTCCCTTGTATAGCTGGTATATTTCTGAGAGAATAAAACAAAGAAACACTCTCACGACAAGCACGAAGTGAATGGAGTAGTTTCCTATCTCCACGGGGGACACTTCACAGTGTAAGAGACGAACGTTTAAGTTGAGATTTGCGTCCACCACAGGAAGCAGCTGTCCAGATGACGTTGTCTCTGTCAGTGGGGGGGATTGCTTCTTCATTACAAAAGACGAGAAGACGACTTATTTATCCGCCTCAAAGTATTGCAACGCCAACCATAAGAAGACAGCTTTCCCGAAGACTCTGGCAGCTAACAACGAGCTGAAGTCACATCTTCTACGGCTAAACCCTAACTGTAAGTAGACTACAGGATTCCGGAGTTCGTGCATCGTCAACCTCACGGGTCAGTATACGCTACGTTCCCCATCACCCCTGTACGTAGGTCCATTTTGGAGTGTAGCTGCTATTTGTACCTAATTTGTGGGTAACAGCGAGTGCCAACAAGTGCAATCAGTTTTTTTGTGCAAATGACCACAAGTCTCTTGTGAGTTTGAATGTCAGTATTCATAATGTGTCGAACGTTTCCGTACAATCATCAGATTCATATGCCTTCGTTATTAGGGTCCGCTGGTCGTCAGTTTTGCATCCACATCTGATTTGTTAACACTATGTCTGAATTAAACATTGTGTCTATGATATGCCATGAATAGTTCCTTTTTGCTTTAGCTCTTTGTGCACATCATATATAAAACAACTTCTGGAAGATAGTACTGTTATTATATACAGTAAACTACGGTTATAACGAACTCAAAGGGACTACTAATTTTAGTTCGTTATAACCGTAATTCGTTATAAGCATATATACAGCATAACTACAGCATATAGTCGGGACTAAAAAGTTAGTTCGTTATATCTGTTAGTTCGTTATAAGCGTGTTCGTTATAACCGTAGTTTACTGTAACACCAACTTCACATACACAATGTAGGAAAAGATGCTTGTTCAATGCAATTTTTATATCAACATCTGAAGCATAATTATCTTTGTCAATACTTTTCAGGGACAATATATTCTTCCATAAAATCATGAAAGGGTATAGTTTGCATTTTCGTGAGCATGACACAGTCCACTCGAAACAACAGGCAGGACCGCGTCTGAATTCCGGTACTGGGTAAACATACATCGTACAGAGGAGACACCCTTCTTCCACGTTGGCAGCAGAGTTACCCAACTGCCCTACACTGACTGGGACCCAGATAAACCTGTCCCTAAGGATGAGTATGGATCTAGCAACTGTGCTGTCTTTGCCTGCTCCAATGGGCAGTACCGATGGGATGTCAATACCTGCAGCAAATCAAGACGCGTCGTTTGTGGAATGAAAGGTACCTTCGGGTCGTATAGTACCGTTATCCTTGTGCTCGAATCTATTATACACTGTAGGGGCCATTCGGACTTACGCCTGTTTTCGCAATATCGTGCGAATAAATGCGACAATGACCTGAAACCTTTTGCATTCGCTCACTTTCTAAATAAGAAACAAACAAAAGAGATTTCATAATTGAAAATCCGCGAGAAATCGAAAATCTCAAGGTATTGGTCCTGTGACTTTGTTGATTTGCTTGTCATCGAAAACGACAGTTCGTGCCGTTGCTCATTATATCAATCACAAATTTGTCTAGCCCAGACTCTATTAATTACTAGATGCCGTCCTGTAACTGGAATAGTGTGTTAAATCACCCCAAACAACTTATATTTGTCTTTGGGGAACGGGTGGTCCAGTCGTCTAAGGCGCCGCGATTCGCTGTGCAGAGTTGTGTCCCTTGGGCACGCCAGAAACCTATGATTGTGGGTTCGAATCTCGGTTCACCCCAATTATGTTTCGAGGTTTGTCAGCATCATACCCGTGCTCGTGGGTTTCATCGAAGCGGTTAACGTCTGAGACATGCATCACTTCGGGCTTTCTTCCCACATTAAGCTGACACGCCGTGATATAACTTAGTCTAGAATACTGTCAACCCAACTCACTAACTCACTTTATTTGTTTTGGCATTAAATGAAATAAAAACTTTTTTAACATAGGAGATAAAGATATGTGACACGAAGTGTGTATTTTCATATGAGATAATATCACACCTGGATCTGTACGATTAACGTATTATCTTCCTCTTCAGACTGTCCACAAGGTTGCAGCACTGCGGCTGGTGAGAACAGTCAGTAATCATATTGTAAAATGAAGGTTGCTGCAGTCTGATTCGCTGAACAACGTTGTTAAATGAAATGTCCATTGCGTTGTAATACTTTTTCCACAATCTCAAGTTTTAAAGAAAGTGTCTTTTGGCTTGGCGAAATGTAAGGCAGTTGATCAATACATTTAACAAGCAGTTAAATCACTTGCTGCCACTGTATTTAATGAATTAATCTACAGGAACATCACAACTAAATGTAACGTTGGACAATATATTTACGTCATGTTCTGCGCTACCCTATTGTAACCAAACAAAACATAACGCAAGGGTCCATGTTCTCATTTTCTTTGACAGAAACCTCGACAACTGCATCTGTTAACATCACTGCGTCTCCTAATACAACATCAACTACACAGGATGTGACAACAGTAGGGCTCACTTCTAATTCATCAATGGACACGGTGAATGTGTTGTCGAGTACAACCATGGCAACTCAATTTCGTGAGTTTATACCACACGCCCTACTTTTGCAGGAATAATGTACATAGTTGAGTGAGTGAGTGAGTTTTGTTTAACGTCCTTTTAACAGTATTTAAGTTACATCAAGGCACGGCAGCTTAATTTGGAAGAAAAGCCTAAAGTGATGCAGGTCTTTCATGAAACCCACGAACTCGGGTATAATAGTGCTGACAAACCAAGAAACATAATCAGTACTAATATGGGACTCGAACCCACGAGCCTATGTTCCTGGCACGCCTAAGGGACGCAACTCTGACAAACAAACTTCAACGCTTTGGAAGACTGAGCCAGCGTGCTCCCTTCCTACCACTAATTGAGTAAATTTACCTCTGTTACCAGGATTTACCAACGTTGGAATATATTGTTTAGAAAATACTTCTTGGTATTACGTTTTCGTAGTTATGTTTTAGCTATATTGTTTTATTTTAGACATGGGTTCAACTGCCAGTTGGTTTGAGGCATCCGTCGGGACAACCCTACTTGTGATTCAGATCTTCCATTTCAGTTCATAAAGGCAAATACAATGTACATATCTGTACACACAAAAAACATGTCCATTTCCATTTCCAGTACATTATTTTGAACTTGTGCAGTGAATGTTGATTAAACGATTCTTATCATGCTCAAATGTTGAAACATATTTTTTATTGATATTTGGATTGACAATCCCACGAAAATAGGGTTGACAAGAGGACGATTATCGACTATATCCTCAAATTGCATCAGGAAAAGATAGAGAGAGAGAGAGATAGATAGATAGAGAGAGAGAGAGAGAGAGAGAGAGAGAGAGAGAGAGAGAGAGAGAGAGAGAGAGAGAGAGAGAGAGATTGCAGAGATTAACATCGAGAGGATGGTATACTTTAGCAATACAAATTTTCTGTAAAACAACAATGATTAAAAACAAGTATAATGTATTAAGAGATGCTTAGAGGCGAAATGATTCCCCAAATGGATAGAATCTGTGAAGCCCATTGCTGCTGTCCCCCGCCGTGATGGTGGTGGTGTATCACCGCCGTGATGTTGCTTGTGTCCCCCGTCGTGATGGTGATGGTGATGGTGATGGTGTATCACCGCCGTGATGTTGCTTGTGTCCCCCGCCGTGATGGTGATGGTGTATCACCGCCGTCATGTTGCTTGTGTCCCCCGTCGTGATGGTGATGGTGTATCACCGCCGTCATGTTGCTTGTGTCCCCCGCCGTGATGGTGATGGTGTATCACCGCCGTGATGTTGCTTGTGTCCCCCGCCGTGATGGTGATGGTTTATCACCGCCGTGATGTTGTTGCTAGTGTCCGCCGTCGTAATGGTGATGGTGTATCACCGCCGTGATGTTGCTTGTGTCCCCCGCCGTGATGGTGATGGTGTATCACCGCCGTGGTGTTGTTGCTAGTGTCCCCCGTCGTGATGGTGATGGTGTAACACCGCCGTGATGTTGCTTGTGTCCCCCGTCGTGATGGTGGTGGTGTATCACCGCCGTGATGTTTCCATGTGTGTGAATATATCTCTTTCCGTACCACGTGTGTGTGTGGCCACTGAACATGTATATGATACGTTTACTGACAGGCACCACATCCACAGCTGGTTATCAACAGGTCACAGATGCAAATATTATTTTCATGGCACTATTTTCATGCCAATCTACAGAGTAATACCCCTGACCTGTAGGTAAATAGTGACGGAACATCCAGCGTTAGCCGGCATAATTATGGTACCTATCATACTCTTCCGAATACCGCCTTGTAATGTCATCACTGCAGTGATGGGTGTGCGTCTCCATCTACATTCTCTTTACGCAGTTCCAATGCTGGTAAATAACCTTCGTCGTTCTTGTTGTTTAGGCTGGAATCGAAAAATCTTGTTTAGGCTCTTTGCATGACTTAATGTCAGCGACACAATGGCTGAACGGAATGGCTTAAATTGTTTGTATATCTACCTACATTGGTGAAGATATCAATTTTGGTTCATAATTAATCTTTTTAAATAAGTGGTATAGTGTTGTAATTTTATAATTAACTAGATCTGTGGTGACATGCAGATATTGTTAAAGTTGAAACCCATAACGCTGTGATTATAGTATTTATATGGCCATGAATCATACTTCTCTATGAGAGTTACCTCCCTTATGCTTAGCGTACTGTATGTTTACTCCTGTTGGATGACACGTCAATAATTCACGCTTACACAGGTGCTCATGTCCCGCGTCCCTGTGACAGATCGTCTCCCTTTGATCACCTAGCCCGACAAACATAAATGTGTTTCGTGTAATAATTTACAGATAGGAATGTTTTAAAAAATATTTTCATAATGATTTGACCATCTCGTATGTACACATATCATTATACATGTGTGAGACAAAGATATGGTTTCTTGTGATATTGTGTTTACATCTATCTTACAAATGCTCACATAACAGAGATTTGTTCCCTTTGATCATTGTGCCAGACAAACACAAACATTTTAAGAGTCATAATTTACAGTTATGAATGTTTTAAAAATATTTCCATAATTATTTATGTATTTCAAATGTACACATACATGTATAAGTATACATGTACGAAATAAAGTAAGATTCCTTTTAAAGTTTTTATCTTTCCAACTATTACTCATACCGATGTAACTTTCTGAAAAAAGCAATGCACATGGCTCCGTGTACTAAATCTATTTAGAAACTTCCACGAATGTTAATTGCAAAATGACAGGTCATCCCATTCTAGAACCAGAATCCTATATTATAGCCAACAAAAAAACGGTACGGCATGACACAATTCAAATATGAAACATCAACGCTGGAGAATGTCCAGTATAGATTATCCGACGAACAGAAAAAAAGCAAAAGAGCGGTGAAAATTATGTGAATGGGTCATCATGACGATCAGTGATGACACCAGGTGTTAGCGGAAAGGACAATAAATATGAATATACATGATGACATGTCAACAACGATAACTTAATCAGGCCCTGCTCAATAGCTTGAATTACTCTCCAATGAAGCGTGTTGGATTGTTAAGTATTTTGTTGCGTTGATGTACTCATCATAATAAAAACAAATTAGATCACTATGTGAATTTTGGAATATGGAAGAAGGAAGTCTCTCAAATATTCTAATACAGACACCCTGATGCACGTAAATCTCTGTCGTAGAAGAACTTCACACCTGAAAAATGGACTAAAAAGTGTAACGCTAAAGTTTCTAGTGTTCTGTAGTAAATTTCCGAACGCTTTCTAAAATATATTTATTGTTTATGGCCCCAATTAGGAGTTTTAAGGAGTTTCACGTCGTCATGGCCAACGCGGGGCTGGTCATGGCTGTACTGTCTACTTAATGCTACAGTGCGAATGGATTACAGGTGATACTGCTATGTGTCGATTCCAAAATTGAAACAATATGTGCCTCCAGAAATCTGTACGTAAAAGAACCTAGTGTGAAACCAACAAACAACCCACAAATGGTATACAATCAACAAATGCATTACCAAAATTCACCAGGCTTACAAATCAATATAAAGTACTGTGCAGCAATTACAATGTCAGTACACAATAGAGTGGTAGTACAATTTTCAGGTGACAGAAAAAATATGATGCCAGTGGTCAGTATCAAATACAAAACTGCATCGGTAATAGCAAAATGGAGTGATAATAATATGTCACCCAGCTGCGACAGTGGTCAAGCTTCCGAGATGTCCTTGGCGAGATTCCGGGGTGATGAATAATCTTCATACGAAAGCTGGTCTTGATGTATTGAAATGTGTGAGAGATACGAGAGGCACGCTCGTGTCCCCTTACATACAGTCTAACTAGCTGCTAGAAAGTTCCCCCGTGCCCTCACCAGTCCACCAGCATGTTAATTGTTTCTTGAAGCTGTTCAGACAGTGTTTCTTTGGATTGTAACAAACAGAGTATCCAGATGAATTATTTTTGAGTCTTGTAAATTAAGGTGTTATTCACACGTTAATATATTATTGGATATGGAATGTTATGTAACAGCTTTCAGAAATAGAGACCACAGGCGTATGCTGTGCCTGTTGAGATTAAGTGAATTGCCTATACGGAGTAATCTGGGCAGAAGGATAATTATTAAGTTTTCAAAATGGCCGCCAAGGTCGTCAGAGGCCCAATTTCGTTAGGGTCCATCTTGAATCCAGTTGTTCTGGGATATATTAACTGAATGCCAAATTTCATACTTGTATTGTATCAAAGATTGCTAAGTTTTAGCCTGTGGCACATCCAATGGGAACCTGGTAGAGACTTTGCCCTCGGTATCCCATGTTTGTCATAAAAGGCGACGTGTTTAGATCGGGTTGTCAGAGTTGAAAGAGATAGACGCAATGACCTAGACATTTGATCATGTTTACAGTCAGTTGTATGCCTGGTCCAGGATCCGTTATTAACAGGCCACCATGGCATCCACTACTGGGGACACTTCGCGAAATATGAACAGCTGTGCATATCCTTTATCTAGTCACACATGCTAACGTCAGCTACATAGTAGTGTCTTGAAGACTTTGTACGTCTTGTATTTTTTCATACGGTGTAAATGCTTCTTAGGTTATATTTAGTGAGTTGGGTTTAACACCGCTTTAAACAGTATTCCAGTTATATCATGGCGTGTCAGCTTAATGTGGGAGGAAAGCCCGAAGTGCAGGTCTCAGACATTAAACACTTCGGTGAAACCCACGAGCACGGGTATGGTGATGACAAACCTAGAATCATAATCGGGGCGAACCGGGATTCGAACCCACAATCATAGGTTTCTGGCGTGCCATAGGGATGCAACTCTGCACAGCGAATCGCGGCGCCTTAGACGACTGGGCCACCCGTGTCCCCTATCTTATATTTATTTAAATGTAGGTGTTCCTGAACAAATTCATTTATGTACCTACCTACACACGGTCAAAATCTAAATTCATTGCACGTGACAAAAGGTAACTGGATAGATAAGGTAGCCCAGAGGTTAACGCCTTGACGCTTCACAACGAATGCCCGGGTTCGATTCTCCACAGTCATGTCACTCACTCAATTACTAATCATTAACCGAACAGTTGTTATCTGTCCTTCGTTCACATTGGTATTAGTTTGTCGTATGTGGCTAGATAGTGTTTAAAAAGATGCACCTTCTTAATCACCATACCTGAGCTACAAAGCAACAGTCTAAACTTTGTTCACACTGTCTTTGGTTCCGCGGGAATGCTGAGGTCTATTAATATAACAGACACTTTCCACGTGACCCTGTACTTCTGACAGCTGGTTTGAAACGCACAGATAATACCGCATAGCTTCACACTGTCTTTTCTACAACTTCGGGGTCGACATTTGTCCAAGTAACAATGATTGCATTTACATCGTGCCTCGTCCTTTTGGTAACAGGTAAGTACGTTTACCTTTCTGCGGTAACTATTTGCACCTCAGGTGGACTTTTCAAACGCATGCACATTTATAATCAACCGTGTGATATATCCATGTAAATATATATGTTTGTGTGGATAATGTACAATATAGGAAATATGATCGATAAATCATCATCGACGCAATACAATAAAGAAACCTTTGCTTCAGCTTAAAATCCAGTTTTTTAATAATAATAAAGTTCACAAATATATCTTTGTAGTCAATCCTCGTATATCTCATATAAATGCGAGTAACTTTGGTTGTGAAAACATGACGTCAGAGGTATTCTCATTTATATAAGATATCCGAGGATGGACTACAAAGATACACTTGTGATGATAATTGCTTGTTCAGCATTCTTCATCTGAGTAAATCTGATGTCATCACTTATGCTCATTTCATATATTCTCTTATACGTAAAATAGCAGCATTCTTTACGTGTTCATTATGCAACAGGGGCGGTGTTCTCGTATCCTGATGTAGATACTACCTGGCTGAAGGCCACTCTCAAAAACCCTTTCTCTGAACCCCGCCACCATGTCACTAACCCGGCATACAAAGCTAAAGCCAGGGACTTCATCATCAAGGAGTTCCGAAGCTACGGATTGGAGACACACAACCAGACTTTTGACACGAATCTTGCGACGGTAACACTGTTTGTTATGCGACTCTTGCTCAAACGTTGTTTGATCAGGGTTACAGCATTCAAGGCCTAAAACGCTTTCTAATAGGAATCATAAAACCATGTAGATCTATTCTTTGAGTGCTGACTGTGCACTTTGTGATTAAACGTATGAATCTTGGCACAGTTGTAGGACATGACATTCCAAATATTTTAAGACGTGGGTCCACCGCAAAAATTCCAATATGGCCGCCAAATCCAATATGGTCGCAATGGAGAAACGAAACTAATATATCTCGTATTAACATTACCCACTACCTAAATATGTCATGAAAAATGTACATTTTCGAAGGTATTTACCCACCATTGCATATGTAAAGTACATAACTGTATCATAATTGACTATTTTCGAATAACGTTCCTCCATGGCGGCCACGTCGGATTTGGCAGCCATATCGGATTGTTTTGGGTGGCCCTGTATCTTATGATATTCGGACTGTCATAACTGAACTCTGCCAAGTTTCATGCTTTTATCACAAAGTGTACAATTTTTTCACGAAACCGCTGGACTATGATAAAGTTTTGTTTTAATTTTCTATTAAACTTTAATTTACAGACACACACATATTAACTGGTCTAATTATTTTGCTATTTTGACATATTAAAATTGTCTCTTTCGGAAATTAAAAGGTTGTATATCATAAACAGGTGTCGTATGGGCGTTTATATCCTCCGATTACCTTCCAGGTGAAAGGTGTAAATGTAATCGCAATTTCGAAGGGAAAGTATTTCAATACAAATAAAGATCAAATAGTTGGAGTCGCAGCACATTACGACACTATGAGAAACACACCAGGTAAGCATTTTTATGGCAATTGTTTGTTTCATCTACCCCATTCTATCTTTACAGTTCCCTATTTTGCTGAAAAAAGCGTCAAAACCCTTTCCATAACCATTGGCAATCTCGGTCCATTGGTCAATACCGATATATTATAAGCATCTATGTATCACTATAGCGAGAAGGTGAGCGTATCTTTGCCCCGTCGGTGACATCGTTAAGAAACATATGTAAAACACAGACCTAAATCATGATGAATGTAATGGACATAGCACTGGACACTCTCGATTAACCCATGTATTAGAGCTCCATTATTATGATAAATAAATACGCCACCAGTTTTGTTTTGATGCCGATGGGAAACTACCCGTCCAATCCAATTACAACCACCGTGCAGAGTCGCGTCCCTTAGGCACGCCAGAATCCTATGATCGTGGGTTTCACCAAGTGTTTAACGTCTGAGACCAGCATCATTGGTGATATCACTGGCTGATTGTTCAAAGCGACGTTAAACCAAACTCACTCACTATGTCATACAGGACATGTGTCGCACCACGAGACTTCTCCCGCACTTTGAACCTAATCCTAGATTATGCAACGTATATACATATAGTATACATGCATCTATATTCTTTCATAATATATACCTTTTCCGATTGGCTGCAAGAGCTTGCTTTGAGCCCGATTAAAATTAAACACTGCTACAAATAACAGTTAAGACAAATTACACTCATGAGTTAAATGGATTCCGTGCTAAGTGAGATTGAAAGGTCACCACTGTAACGGGGATGTAATTGGAATAGGGACACAGCACCCTGGGCCAACTGAGAGATTATTTTTCTGAACAATAAGCATGTCCCGTCTACGGTTTCATATTTTTTTTGTAAACCCTGTGGACGAATTATTTGTTTTCTAGGATTGTCGATAACAGATGATTCTTTCCCGAATACGATCAGCTAATGGTGTCCCAGGCTCAAATCCTTACATCCCCTCGTGATCTAGTAGGAATACTGTTGACTGGTGGTATACTCCCTCATTCACTTACTTTTCATGTATCCTCACGTGAACCAAATGTTCAAGATATTCAGTTGGCCTTGCGTCGTAGGCTATTGCATTTTCGACATTTCCTCAAAAATCACAGAGCCACAATGCTGACATTATGAGTGGGAGATCCCAGTTAGGATGTCTCTGAAATTCCGATCAGAATGTAAACATTGTCGTCATGGCATCCATATTTACCCATTTTGCATACATCGTTATTCTAAAATGCATGCAGCAAGCGTGACATCATGTGTGTGGTATTGATATATTCATAAGTTGATTTGACATTTTCCCCCATTTAACCATCACACGCACCAATATAATCCCAGCAATACAACTCTATAAATAACTCACACATTCTTGATAAGCCACAGCAGTATCATTTTGAGGTATCATGTTTGCAGTATGATTACTCGTATTAACCTTTTTCCTGCCATTTTAAATGTATCATCATGCACCTTTACAATACGTATTACGTATGTGATATGCAGAAGAACATCAAATGCCTAGTTTACTGGATTTATGTAAACATATCTAAAGCTTCTTTGGCTAAAAAATTAAATTATGTGTATACGTGTACCTCCAGTTCAAACATCTCCACTGACAAAGGTAAGCTCTGCCAATTTCTCAGCCTTTTTGTGCAGTTAACATAATGTCATTGAATTTTGCCAAGCAGTAAGTATGTTGTGTGCATCATAACAAATACTGCACTTTTCGGTGTCTAATTCCATACTTCATCTCGCTATGGCTGTTTTGACGTATCAAATCTTCTGTTATATTTTTTGCATTTTCTTGTTTGGTAAGTCCTGTAGGACAAATGCACGCATTGAGGGCAAATTACAGTGAGGTACAGAATCTATGTTTTTCAGTTATCCTCTAGGGGAAAGTCAGCTGAAGTAAAAATGCAGCAATTATTCCGAAAGCAAACTTTAAATGATTAGACTGAGCCGAACGCTGACAACATTTAATCAGTTTGCAGTTCTTGTACTTTGCACAAACATTCACTTCGTGCAGGCGTCGATGACAATGGTGCCGCTGTCGTTGCCATGCTGCAAGCTGCCAAACATCTAGCCAAGTTCGGGCGAAACTTCACCGTGATCTTCGTCGCCTTTGATTTTGAAGAATGGGAGGAAAGTAGGTTAAGTTTACACATATCATTCCGATTGTTGAGAGACAATGCGTTTGAAAATGCTAAGCATACTCAGGCAATGTTATGGAACTTTAAAAACGTCAGAAAAGTGTTGTTCTTTGTTTTTTTCTGTTCCTATTTCAACATCTATTTGAAATATAACACCTCAGCAAATTCTTTTCCGACTGACAAATCGTTTGATTTGCTTGTTTGTTCACATAATGTAAATGTGAGATGAAGTATTGAAAACACCCGTGCTGAACAGCTCGCGTTCTAAATGCCCCGGGGCGGTCGGGTAGCCTACTGGTTAAAGCGTTCGTTCGTGACGCCAAGGACCCGTGTTCGATTCCCGACATGGGTACAATGTGTGAAACCCACACTGGCATTGGTTTGGTTGGTTGGTTTGTTGTTTAACGCCGCAATATTCCAGCCATATGACGGCTCACTGGCATTGACTATATATATATATGACCGCCTTCGTGGTCTTGTGGTAGAGCGTCCGCCCGGAGAGCGGAAAGTCCAGGGTTCGATCCCGGGCCGCGTCATACAAAAAGACGTTAAAAGATTGTACTTGTTGTTACCCTGTCTGGCGCTCGGCATTAAGGGGCTAAAACAAGGACTGGTCGGCTCGGAGTCAGTATACTGTGTCTGAGTGGGGTATTCATGTTAAACTGCGGCATGGTATCTCAGTGAGCTAGTACTATAAATCGGCATCAACCCGGACTAGTACAAGCAGCCACACACATACACGTGCATGCACGTCGCTATATAAGTGCAATAATCTTGGACGCGACGTTAAACCCAATTTCACCTCACCTATATATATATATATATATATATATATATATATATATATATATATATATATATATTTCATTATGGCAATGTTAACTTAAAGTATTTACAATCAACCTGATATTCAATTAGGCGATGACGTGCTGAATATATTGCATACAGTGTGTGGTGTTAGTTGACTGCTTTATACAATAACGTATATTTCCCAATCCCTTTGTTCATTTTCAAATTGTATTTGCCACTATATTAAGTCATCAATGTAATATGTCAGATGTGGGATACGCAGTTTCTCAGAATACGTTTGTAATGTTCCTCCTAATACAAGTCTGAAATACATGTAACAATGAAACCATATGTGTTTTGGAAAATATAGACTATTCAGCACATCATCACTCCTACATTTACATACATTTAAAAAAAACGAGGATGTGTTTCACTGGTATTATTTTTTTAAAGACCTTCCTGAAGAAGCATGTACCTACCTTAGTTGTGGAAGCAGGAAGTTCGTCAGTGAATGGATGCCATCCTTTTGGACCACTATGCCCAATCTCAAAGGGTTTATCGTCATGGACACCATTGCAGACATTCAAGAAATGCCAGACACCCAACAACTCCCACAAGGATTGGGGCTGGTAGTATTCTAAAATTATTACGCCTCTTGTATTAAAAACCGTCAGCTTTACACAAGCAGTCCCCGCTTAGGCCCCGTTTACAAACCCCGTTTACAAGTCAATGTAAAGTATAAAAAAGTAATAATTTGAAACATTGCTCAAACATAATGTACAAGGTCTATGAATGCCTCGGATATATTTTTGTATAATTGTGTTACCCGTGGATGTACTGGGGGCGAGTACTGACCCAGGGTCTCCGCATGCTACATCATAAAAAAACATATGTGAGTGATGTCTATTCTGCTGTACAGTCATTTAACTGGAATATTGCAGACTGCGGCGAAAAACAACATTCACACATACAGCAAAACACAACACAACGGAAAATGCCAGGGCAGTTGCAGTAATGTTCAATGATGAGTATGTTTGCGACAAATGTTATCAATCGTTTTATTAAATTCCATAATCTAATTAAGTATTTCTGATTTTAATGTTATACACAGTGGAAAACCAGACCTTACTGCTTGACTTGTGAAAGGTACACAGGGTGAGGTTCAAACTTCTTTCTCTGTCGCAGGAGCTTCTTTAGCGTTCATACAGCCATCTTGAAATTTCATGACATGATTATACAGTTACAGTTATTACAGTTACTGTACCTTCACCACAAAACTTCAAAAGATGAGACCCTGTAGGTAGTCGTTAGTTGGTTACCCTACAATAAGTCACATTCTAGGTATTTCACCGCGGCATGCAAAAAATGGGTTTGCTGGTCAAACGAGTCATTGATGGCATCATCAGTCAGCCAAGACAGAGACTGACCACACAATCTCCTTTTCAGTCGCCTTTTATAATAAGCACAAGGTACTGGGTACCTAATGTGACCTTTCACTTCCCCTTCGTAGTGCCCTGTTGGTTCCTGTGGTGAGCTCTAACGTGCTATAAAGCTAAATCCCCATTTATCTCCAGTTTGCCCCGGGCGTTGTAAGCAGCGTTAACTCTGACGGCAAAAAGGGAGATTTCATCGCAGCAATTGGCCGTGCCTACGATTCTGACGTCCTTGATGCCTTCGTCACTTCCTACACCGCCTTGGGTCAACCTGAGTTCGAGCTTGAGAAGATTAACATCACCGTTCTAACTGGCCCGACACTAACACAGCAGCAATTCATGATTTTCAATGATCTTATAAGGAGTGATCATTATTCTTTCTGGTCAAATGGTATGAGGGCAATCTTCCTGACGGACACAGGTACTGTTTTAGGTTAAGGAGTAATTATTTGCAAAGGAGTGTTTATGAAATAATTAGATATGTTAAAATGGAAAGGATATGTTGATACTGAATGTTGATTGTATTGCAAACATGTGTACATGATAATGAATTAACTGCTTCGAATTCCGAGCCATTTGAAACAGAGACCCGTGGTTGGCTGCATTTGGAAACATTGCTTTCCAGTGGATGTGTCTATTACAGCCATAATTCTGGCAGTATTGAAGTCAGAAACATTGATGAAATTGACTGCAAATTGTGAAAAGTGTCTGTCGATGTAATACAACAAATAAATTCATTCATTTATATAAATTTATTGTTCAGGTAGGAAACTAGGTATAGATAGTTCATTATGAAACATAAAAGAAAATAGTTAAATTTTATGATTATCTTATGAATATAGAAAGGTTTTGACGCTTTCATTTCTTATCCTGAACTGACTGAACCCTAACCAGATACTATTTTGTGTGTGCAGTATCCCTTGTAGAATGAATGAAGTGTGTAAGCTTGTACTGTGACTTCTGAGACAGAGCTTCGTCAGCTGAATGAGTGAGTGAGTTGGGTTTAACGCCGCTTTGAACAGTAGTCCAGTTATATCACGGCGTGTCAGCTTAATGTTGGATTAAAGCCCAAAGTGATGCAGGTCTCAGACGTTTACCACTTTGGTGGTGACAAGCCTAGAAACATAATCGGGGTCAACCGTGGTTTCTGCTGCCAGCAGGGTTGGACATGCTTACCTTTTTCGCGAACACCTGGTGTCATCTCTTATCTTCATTTGTCCATTCATATTATTTTCACCACTAATTTCCCTTTCAAGCCCATTGGAATCTGTTTCGGTGGGTAACTTATTCTTCTCTAGCTTTGACATTTTTTATTTATTGGATAGAATGTCTGCTCGGAGAGCGGAACGTCCGTGGTTCGATCCCCTGGCAGTGTCGTACCAAAATACGTTAAAAACGGTGCTTGTTTTACTCTGCCTAGCGCTCGGCATTAAGGGGATACCATAAGGGGTGTCGATTCGGAGTCAGAATAGTGTCAGAGGGGGATATCCATGTTAAACTGCGGCATGATATCTCAGTAGGCTGGCACTATTAATACGCACTATAAGTCAGACTAGTGCAAGCAGCCAAACATACACGTGTATGTACGTCGCTATATAAGTGAAATAATCTTGAACGCGACGTTAAGCCTAGTTTCACGTTTCAGCCAACTTCCGAGGGTATATGCAAGCCTGCTACCATCACTACTGTGACACGTTTAGCCGATTCACAGACAAGATGCTTCAGTTTCTCGGGAAGACCACCCAAGCTCTCATTGGTTCTGTCAACATATTGGCGCCATCTACCGGTAAGAGTGCTCTCCCCTTGGGAGTAAAGGATACCCTCTTAGCGGTACATTTTTTTAACGTTATTACATTCTGGATCATTCAAGACCAAACGTACATCATATACCATTCCATAACAAATTAACAAAACTAAAATTTAAAAAATCGGTAATAAATTATTATACTGAACATTATACTGAACCGCAAAAGAAACGTCACCCCAAGTAACATTGCATGAAAAGTTGTCATTTAAATATTTGGGTAATTTTTGTCAAAGATTCTAAAATTCAACTTGATGATAAAAAAACCAAAGCAGATGACAATAAAACCGATCGCCCAAACGCATCACGGCAATGGCCATGGTAACATGATGCACGTGAGTTCCGTGTAATTTGAAATGCACATGCGTTCCCCCATTTCTTGCCCTAACAAAATCCACCCAGATTGGATAACATTCATTCGTTATTGAATTGCGTCAGGCGTTCCTCAGAGTGTGGGCTCAAGAGCCTATGGCCTTCATCAACCGCCTCATTCATTCCATGTATCGACGTTGCACGACAGTCATCAATGCACATGGCGGACATACGAGATACTGACTTGTGATGCCATTTTCTCAGAGACTAGTGTTGTGTTTCACTTTAAGAACGTTTGACACTTTAATTTCCACCTTGATGATCAGTTTTGCCAAGTTTCATTTTTTGATATGTCTCAAAGTATGTTTACGGGGTTTGGACAAGTAAGGTTTCTCATATATCTATCCATGGTGACATTTCTTTTGCGGTTCAGTATATTAAACAAAAATGATTGAAAAGTATAAGATTCACAATTTATTTCGAAGATATTTTTGTTTGACATTAAATCTACATCGAAACGTCGCTAAAAGCAATGAACCAGAGTGAGAGAGAGAGAGAGAGTGAGCGAGTATGGTTTTACGCCGCATTTAGCATTACTTCAGGAATGTCACGGCGGGGGACACCAGAAATGGGCCTCACACATTGTGCCCATGTGGGGAATCGAATCAGGGTCTTTGGCTTGACGAGCGAACGCTTTAATCACTAGGCTACCCCACCGACACCAATGATCCTGAAGTTATTATCCATAGAGTAAAATCAAGGTTAACCATAACTTGTTAGATTGGTACTATATAAACTATACCTGTCGTAAGAGGCGACCAATATGGTTCGGGTTGTCAGGCTGGGCGACTGGCAGGTGTTTTTCATATCGACCATTGGTTTGTCTGGTCAAGATTCGTATATTTACAGGCCGCTGTGATATAGCAGGCATATGTCTAACTGGGACGTCAGATAGCATTCACTCAACGATTCACTTCGGGTTTATGTCTACACATTTTTAAAGAGGACATATTGCAGGACATATTGCAGGACATATTGCAGGACATATTGCAGGAGATGTGTCTCAGATCTTAGACTGTTGTTGACAAACCTACTTGTGTGTTTCAGAATTATCGGGAAGTGCCCTGGTTGGATGACAAATGACTCTCTGATTTGCAATTACAGCGTCCAATTAACAAGACGGATGAATTACAGGTTCTTTCTGAAGCGTGGTTCAATCCCTGACACGTCTTCATCTGACTTCATTCCCGTTTCATAATTCACAATTAGTTTATTCCACGTTGGTGTATTCTATAAATGACAAGCATGTAAATCTAAGATTACAATTATGAATGTAATTCTTTGAATAATGTCATATTGCAAGCTTGATTTGTCCTGTTGTATATGGACCTTTGGATCAGAATGGTCTCTCTCTGTGGAATCTTGTATAGGCGTTCTGCCCTCCGACTCATCTGTATCTGGGACGCATCATGCGTACGTTTTTACTGAAAAAAGAAACGCCAATATAGTTCAGTTTGATGAACCTGAGTTTAATGACGTGTACATGACGTTGACCAGTACACTTCGGGGGCACTTGGTGTCTGAACCACATATCTGTAGAATGGCGACACAAAGATCCGTGAATTTCCTTGGTGCGTGACGCACTTGGTTGATGAGGAGACTTTATCCCATAGTCTTCAATTGTATATATATCTGGAATAAGTGCTGGCCATAGAAGACTCTAGTGGAAATGTAGGAAGTATTCTGTTAGTCCCTGTTTTTTGGACTTGGTCGATGCATCAGCGAACACTAACGCCACTGCCTGGTCCAATATTGTTGAAGATAATGCGACCACTTCGCTAGTTCAGGCATCTCGTATCCTTGGCTACTCAGGATCTGTATCTGGAAAAAACATGCATCTGACTCCCACACAACTCGGCTGTTCCAAACTGTAACTCCGTTGCCTGGTTTGGAAATGCACTCTCTGGTCTCATCTAAGCAAAGGGTCGTCCTCCTTTGTTGCTGTCGCCAATCCATTGTAGCATTACCCAGTGCTGTCTGCTGTGACGATTGCTAGCTTCAAGGAAAGCATCGCGGGCTAGTCGTCAGCAAGTGATCTACTAACTGTATCAGGGGGCACGGGTGGCCCAGTCGTCTAAGGCATCGCGATTCGCTGTGCAGAGTTGCGTCCCTTGGGCACGCCAGAAACCTATGATTGTGGGTTCAAATCCCGGTTCGCCCCGATGATGTTTCTAGCTTTGTCAGCACCATACCCGTGCTCATGGGTTTCACCGAAGTGGTAAACTTCTGAGACTTGCATCACTTCGGGTTTCCTCCCACATTAAACTGAAACGCCGCGATATAACTGGAATACTGTTAAAAGGGGCGTTAAAGGGGCGATTATGTTTCTAGGCTTGTCAGCACCTAAGTGGTAAACGACTAAGACCTGCATCACTTCGGGCTTTCCTCCCACATTAAGCTGACACGCCGTGATATGATTGGAATACTGTTAAAAGTTAAACCCAACTCACTCACTCACTCACTCACCTAAATGTATCACCATAGGTGATGGTTGCAGTTCGGCCACCGAGCTATCTAATTTGAAGATGAGATTCCGTCTTGCAGTTGTTGCCGACGCAGTTGTTTGGGTGGTCACCGTAGGACGTCCTAATACAAGGCCAATCATTTGCGATCTTTGTGCTCTTGAAACGTTCCCGCTGGCGATAAATTGCCGTTGTGTGTTGCTCTGCCAGACATGGCCAGACAGATATCTGCTGGTGTAGTCTCCTTGGTCTCTTTGTAGTCATGACATGACTGCTTATATCGGACAGCGTTTTACACCCTTAGACCCTTACTTTAGGCCTTATGGTATCGTAACCATAGCATGTCCATTTATAGTATGTTAGTTTCTAGATGGTTTACCTACCCACACCCAGGCTGATGGACGCGTGACCTCATCCTATTTTAAGCATTCATACTAAAACGTGCATCAAAACATATAACTAAATCATTTGGTAATGCACGTTTTTATTTAAAAAGAAATAAGACTATGAAACGCAAATTGTTTCTCGAATGATATGCATTCATCTACGATTCATGTTAGGTTTCTCACCCAACCCATTTGCACAATGCTGTGTCCGCGTTTGGTTTATAAGGTTTTATAGAAATATTAGGCTCAGACCATCTACATTTTCCTGTCAAATTAGACTGATCAGTTTAGTTGATGGATGTCACAATACATACTACTCAAAGGAAGTTAAAGAACACCCGATTTGTTCACGTGACGGCTGTCACGGCTGATGGATATAGCCTTCCAATTGTGGGCGTTCGTTAACTTGTGTTGAGTAGTATATATATATTCGTCCCCGGTATAAAATCTCACCCCCTCGCCATCATATTCCAGTTCAAATCCTCTGGTATGATGAATGGATAAGCTCTGACCTAGAACTGATGCTCCAGGCTGTGGTTTACAGTCTTGGAGTCGCCCAGCCTGACCAACCGATACCCATTTTATTCAGCTTTTGCAACAAGCATTAGGTTATGAGATAAGGAATTGGGTTGAGTTAAGATTAGACTTCAGTGTTTTAGCCTTTATGGAGATTATAAAACTTAAAAACTGGACCCACATGCACAAAGCGATCTTAGTTCTAAGATGATCTTAACTCCTATACATTAACATAGGTTTACGATAGTCTTAGCGCTAAGATCGTTTTGTGCAAATGGGCCCTGATGTGCATACCGTGTACATTCCCGTTGGTGTACGTATATCTCGCCATAAATGCAAACACATGTTGAAGTCATCAACGTTTCATTCAAACTCGACTTAAAAGTAAGTGTAAGCCGTGTGCAGTGTATTTATCATATTAAAATGGACATAAAATTCATTCGATAATCGAGGATGTAAAGTGTAGTATAGAAAGCTTGGTCTGGAGAAAGGGCAACACATTCAGAGATGTGCTTGAAGACCAAGCGCGAAGCCGAAGAGTGTTGACAGGGTCGTCAGTGACATCGCCTTGACGTTCAGGGTACGTGCGCCGGAGTTCCGATCTGAAGCAGAAATGTGCCAGTTCAATGGATATATAATGATAATTTATAGTTACAAAATGTAATGAATATTCGCAAGTCGTTTTGGGTATTTATCCCACAAGGGAAACTTTCTTCGCACCCTGGTATCAAACTTCTCTTGTCAGTGGGAAATTGTGAATGTGAATTACTGCAGGGATAAGAACATACTTGGACCCGTTTCACAAAGCGATAGACCCGTGATGATCCGGGGTAGAATAGGTCTGCAGCAACCCATGCTAGCCGTAAAAGGCTACTATGCTTGTCGTAAGAGGCGACTAACGGGATCGGGTGGTCACGCTCGCTGACTTGAACTTGATACATGTCATTGATCCCAATTGTGTGGATCGATGCTCATGATATCAATCACTGGATTGCCTGGTCCAGACTCGATTATTTACAGACCGCCGCCATATAGCTGGAATATTGCTGAGTGCGGCGTAAACCAACAAACAAACACAAAGCGATATTTTAACATCGGAACTTTGGGGGTTCGTACCTATATTCCGACAGACATATCACATACGAAGAAACACTCACTAATGACTGACTGTGATATTGTCGAGGTGTTTTGGAATGTGCCGTTGTTACTTGGCTTTTGGAATGAAGTTGCGTTGACTGTGTTGGACCACGTTGCTTCCACAGTTGCAGTTGCAGTCGGTGTTTGTGTTGTTATAGATGTCGTCGTGGTAGGCTCTATCCATGGACACAAATGAGAGTTCATTGAAATGTAGTTCGCCAGATACATGTACATGTTTAAATGTTGGGCCAACTGTAGTGACAATAAATGCTAAATGTAGAACTTTATAATCTAGTTGGTAATATCAACCCTATGAAACAAGAGTCTTGTGACTTTATGAAACTAGATGTAAGAAGTACATGAAGAGTTGGAAGGATAATGACATCTTGACACATCACGATCGACCCGATGAAACGTGTCCATATAAGATGCCATATAAGATGTTCAGATTGTTCTTTTCTAAACACTAACAATTCATCTGCAGGATCCTCGTTGATGTCTGATTGCCGTTAATGAATATGAATAGGAATTGGTCAAAATCAAAACAAGTCAATTTGATCAAAATGTTTAACTTATGCTTCAGATATATCGATGAGGTCATATCGTTCAATAAAAGACAAACAGCCAATTCCGTTCCAATGATTTACCCACCATAGTTAGCAATGAAAGAAACAAGTGAAAGTTTCATATTTATATCTGTACATAAAACTCAAAGCGACAAACAACTCTCACGAGGAATGACTTCATCTTTACAATAGTCATCTTTCCCTTCATGTCCAGCAACACTACAGCAACTCCTGCCTTTGGTGTCTACATTTCTCAACTTTTGAGGTACAATCGAGCATGAACTTTCCACGAAGACTTCAAACATCGTCATAAGGCTCTTGCTCAAAAGCTTGCAACATTCAAGGCCTTATCAAAGCTTTCAAAAAGTTTTATGTAGAGATCCCAATTTGACGCATCAGTGACAAAAATGATTAAATTCCCTGTTTTGTACTGCATGTTACCGTGGTGATTCGGATGAACATTTAACTTGTCTTTTTCATGTTTTTGTGGCGAGTGCCACCGGCGGAGCCGGATACGCACACCTTTTCGCGAACACCTATTTTGGCCGAGAGGGGACATCGCTTTCTCGGTATGGCAATATTTCCCTCTTGGCCACTATAGGGATCGAATGTGTTGTCTGTTTCTATACGATAAAAAGTATTTAGGTAAAACGACACTAATGAATTGTTAAACCTGAGCCCATTGGCGGGAGCTGAGATGTTTCTAGTCACTTTTCAAATTATACATATAGAGGGAAGGTTGAAATGTTCTCACTATCTTCCTATACATAATTTAACTGTTGTTGTAGTTGCTTTAAGTGTTTAAGAGGTCCCCTTCTGCCTTAACAATTTCGGCTGACCTGTCCCTCTTTGGGACACGGGTGCTGAGGTTGGTATTCACATACTTTCTGTTTTTGAATTGATATGATATCTATGTTCGTATATTGATATAATTTCATTTTTATCCTTGCCTGCTGTGTTTATATACGTTCGAGTAGCTGTCCAGAAATACAGTTAGTTTGGCCTTTGCTATTTCATCCCTTTGCTTCAGGAGATCTGCGACAGATAGCGGATCTAACTGCAATTCTTGTTTAAACCGAGCCCGGGCTGGGGCGGTCTTGACATTCTAGTAACACGTGAGCAATTGATTCAGCCTGATTGCAAGATGGACAAACCTTGCCATAGTGCTTTTTGTGACCGAGTCTGAGGCGTGAGATGGCAATTTCAACTTTCCTTTAATTTTGGTGGATCTTGGGATGAGTTTTGTATATCCATCTGCCGATCGTACTTGCGTCCCACTGGGCCATTATTACACAAGTACGCATATCAACTGTGATAACGGTACAGCGATGGGCCACCTCGTGGTTAAGGCGTTCGCTCGTAACGCCGTAGACCCAGTTCGAATCCCCACATGGGTACAATATGTGAAGCCCTTCTGGTGTTTCCCGCCATGGTATCGCTGGAATATTGTTAAAAGCGCCGTAAAACCCTTCTCACTCACAGAGGTGTTTATCAAATTACTATGTAGAAGTACATATACTTGTATAGCCACACAATACAAGTTGATCATAAATCAAATGTCAAAGAGAATATTTTCAGACAACGGTATGACACACTGTAACATTATATACTACTGAGTATATAGAAGTTATAGAACACCCACAATTATAAGATTGTGTTTTGCAATACAATCAGCCATGACTAATTAACCGTAGTCTTCTTAACTTCTTTTGAAAAGTATATATTTAAATTTTTACCTGATTTATTTATAGGGCATTGTCATGATGCACCTCGCTCTCGGCCTGATGCTCACATAAAACAAGATAGGGCCATAAATCAATTTATTACATTTTACGCAAAAATCTGTGGATTATTTTAGAATCACCTACGTCTGTACAGTTAAATTATGTTTCAAGTAAATAGTAAACTCAACAAAATCTGATGCAAATATCCATCAAAACGTTCACGGTACAAAATGGGGATATCCAAAGAAACATGGAGGTCACGAATCGGTACATTTGTAACTCCTAGAGGACGTCGACAAGTAGAGACAGTTCTCTCCCGCACCTCGACGGCGGAGTGGACAACAAGAACCGACATGGCCTCCCGTCTGATGTTGTGTACAACACCTCTTCTCACGTTCTGGTATTTGGGATCTACTACAGCATCGGCGATGCAATCGGCATTACCTACCATCATACCATCCCCATCGTTGTGCTCAGAAGGTGTGATTTGTGAATATGTCCACAAACAATGGACATTGTTTACATAGCGAAATCTGAACAATAACCTCGAATTTAGGCGTCAGCCTTTTGTGACACTTATCTATCTCTCCGGAGATATTGAACTTAATCCTGGACCTACAGGAGATAAGTTTGATGAGCTAAAGTTTGCAATTATTGAACAGATAAAGAAATCGGAAGCTAGATTAATTCAAAATATTGAATCTGTTAAAGCTGAAATCCAGACAATCAAGAGCGATGTTCGTGAACTTCTAGACGAGGCGAACAACAACGAAGAAAGGCAATCTTAAGGCATGACATTGATGCTGTTTCCGATAGAATAGATGCTATTGATGATTATGGCGATGCTGTTAACAGTTTGGAGGAAAGAGTTGAAAGTCAAGAACGACATGTAGAAGAAACAATTCTATTCTTTACGATGATCCCGAAGATAGTGAGTCCTATGATACATTCAGGGGAAAGGTGTTAGATATTATTTACAGAGCTAGAAATAAGGAAAATCAATTTACCCAGATAGTGCCAAGAGACATTGAACCTGCACATATACTATCTACAAGGAACGGTAACAAACCACGCCCACTCATAGGGAAAATGACTCATTGGATGGCCAAGATGCAGGTGGTGAGTATGAGAGGTATACTGAGAGAGATGGGATTCGGGGTTGCTGGTGACCTAACGTATAACCAACGACGTGAACATTACAGATTACGCACTGAAAATCCTAATGAAATGTTTTTCTTCAAAGGAGGAAAAAGTGCCGAGATCATAAATGTGACACAGAGAAAAGCGATTGTCCCGCACAGGCTCAGGATAGTGATGTTAGACCAATAAAATGGTGGAACCAGGAACAACGGCAATCGGAGGCAGGTTGCAGAAAACAGAATTGACTTTCGGCCTCGATCACTCCGCCCCAACGTGAGAGAGACGACAAACAGTAGACAGCGAGGTGGCCCGGGCCAAGATGATTGTAGGGTGTTTCATACAGGTTCACCTACAATTTCCCCTTTGTTGACTGGGTCCATAAAATGTAATTTCTGGAAAGCGTCTGGACTAAAATCCATAGTGGACGATTGTGAATTTATTACCTTTGTTAATTTATTTGATATTGTCAGGGTAACTGGATCATGGTTGAAGGAGACAGATTTGGATGGTTTATTCAGTGATGTTACTATACACACAAAGGATGGTGAGCGGATATCTACCCGGGGTCGACTCTCAGGTGGAGTAAAGGTATTAATCAGAAACACTTTAGCACATCTTGTAAAGTGGACCACAGTGTGTGATAGTGGTATTTTTGTTTTACTAGATAAAGAAATATGTGGTTTAAAGAAAAACCGATTGTATGCATGTGTATATATTCACCCGGAGTCTTCAACCTGTTTTAATAACCCGTTACGTCAATGTAGATACGGCATCTCCCCATCACACTATCTGTTGCATATACTTTCTAAATGTGATAATGTGTATGGTATCATGGTATCATAATTATAACAACAGGAGGGATTTTTTGTTGGATAGTTTTAACATGAAACGACTTTCGGTAGATTTAACTATAAACAGGTTTGGTAGATATGGTTTGTTTGCTAGAGACATGCAGTATTCTTAAAATCCATATTATGAATGGAAGGTATGGATCAGACGCGGGTGTACATGTAGGTGATTTCACTTTATAGGAAATGAAGGTGCGATCGTGGTTGATTACATAATATGTTCATCTGAATTGTAGGATATATGCAGTAGATTTGACATACGTTCACGCGCTCAGTCGTCACATCTTCCACTCACAATGGATTTACGTACGTTTCACACAACTGAACTGATTGAAAGTGGTCCAATTATTAATGAATCTTTCAGATTTACATGGGTTCACGATAGAGCTGATAACTTTAGATATAATTTGACATCAGATGAAGTACATTATTTACTTGAAAAGGCAGCATTCGTAAGCATCCATGTAAGTGTAAAATATATCACTGATGCCTTATGTATGGCTGCATCAGATATGAAGAGAAAAGTTTGCATGAACAAACCACATCGTCAGTGGTATGATAGTTGCTGTGAGTTATTAAAAAAAGAAAGATGTGGATGTTTAAATAAAAGATTTGGTTTCATTGGAAAATTATCCTCGCATCCGGAATCAGTATAACGAAACAAGTAGAAAAAAAGAAAGTCAAATATTATGAAATGAAACAAGAACATCTTGAGAAAAAACATTCATAATTCAAAAGTCTTTTGGTCAACTCTTAAAAAGCTAGAATAACTCCACACATTCATAGTAATATTACTATCGAAAACTGGTATGACCACTTTAAAAACTTATTTACCGTTCATAATGACAGTGATGATGACTTTTTTCTGTATTTGAAGATGACAATATAACATAGGATGATATCGAATTATCAAGAGACATTCTCGAGGCTCCGATTACGAGTGATGAAATAAGAGAAAGCATTTCTCATCTTAAAAATGGTAAATCAGCTGTATATGACAAACTTACATCAGAATTTTTTAAACACTCTACAGATATCATTGTACTATATATCTAGTGTTGATTTTTAATATTATGCTGGAAACGTCATGTTTTCCTGAAGACTGGGCACTTGGTATAATCGTCCCTCTCCATAAACAAGGTTCAGTGAATGATACAAATAACTATCGAGGCATTGTGTTATGAAGCATTTTTTTGCAAAGTGTTCATATAAATCATTAACAAAAGGTTAGTATTCTGGGCTGATGCTTATGAAAAGATTAGTGAGTCTCAATCTGGTTTCACTCTAGGATACTCGACAATTGATAATATATTCATGTTGCAAATAATAATACAAAAGTACCTAGCAAAGAAGGGTGATAAATTATATGCAATTTTTGTAGATTTCTCTAAAGCTTTTGATTTTGTTACCAGAAATAATTTATGGTCACGTTTGAAAGCACATGGTCTTAGCAGTAATGCGGACCCCATTGTGGTCAAGAGGGGATATGGCTTTACCGTTAGAAAGCGAGAAAGCGATAGAGTGATACTTTAAAGCGATAAAGCCATAGAGCGATAAAGCGATAACGGGATAAAGCGATGTCCCCTCTCGGCCACCATAAATACCTCGTATCATCACTATTTGATAGTGATTCACAAACACATGCTTATGATATAGTTGGAATTGTAAAATCGACTCTGCTGAAGAGATTTCGTGTGATTATGAACATATTTTAGTCCCTTTTAGTCCCGGATTGTAACAATGTGACCAAAATATCATCACTAGCAAAAGGGAATTTCTTGGAAAATGCTCCGTGCAGTTGTTGCCGTAACTGTAAGTCATAATTCTTATGGATGGCGTGTTTTCACTTCATAAGTATTGGAACACATGCAAACTATCGTGTTACTGAATAGCCGCGATATTTCGTGATTCTATTTCAAGTAGTGAGGACCATGCTTAGCTTTGCGTGTGCCTCGCCCTGCGATAATGTTATGTCCCTGAATGCATTTCCACGTAAGAAACAATTGTATGTTGACTGACTCATGTATTCAAAGAAGTAGAATTTAAAAAACTGATTGAGATTGTCACGCGAGTTGTCTCAACTCTGCCTCAGGTTAAACAAGCATGTGTAATTTTTATTAAACAATGCTGGGAAAGATTTCCGCCCACACCCCATGTTTTTCTCCCTGCCCGGTGGGGTCAGGCAACGCTCACCTTTTCGCGAACACTTTGAATCATCATTATTTGATGGTGATTCATGGACGCATGCTCCTGATACAGTCGAGTCGAACAATCGTTCTGCTGTTGGCAGAGATTTCTTATGAATGTGGGTAGGGTTTTGTCGCTCTTATTCACATTTTGCCTGTGTTAGGAAACCTAACCCAACCCAACATAAATGTCTTTTTAATACTTCTAGCCAATTGTTATGATTTTAAAAGATCGAGGCATGGGTTATAGGGTGCTACTTGTATCATGAATTGGACAGTGTCCCATTGATGTCAACCCTACAGTACCTCCCGATACCCTGTCATGGGTTACAGTCTCCGATATCCGATACCCTGTCATGGGTTACAGTCTCCGATATCCGATACCCTGTCATGGGTTACAGTCTCCGATATACGATACCCTGTCATGGGTTACAGTCTCCGATATCCGATACCCTGTCATGGGTTACAGTCTCCGATATCCGATACCCTGTCATGGGTTACAGTCTCCGATATCCGATACCCTGTCATGGGTTACAGTCTCCGATATCCGATACCCTGTCATGGGTTACAGTCTCCGATATCCGATACCCTGTCATGGGTTACAGTCTCCGCTATCCGATACCCTGTCATGGGTTACAGTCTCCGATATACGATACCCTGTCATGGGTTACAGTCTCCGATATCCGATACCCTGTCATGGGTTACAGTCTCCGATATCCGATACCCTGTCATGGGTTACAGTCTCCGATATCCGATACCCTGTCATGGGTTACAGTCTCCGATGTCCCGAGGCAGAGTTTCATCAAAACGTGTGAGTCACACGCACGTCCACGTCACGGTCAGTGACAACAGCAACATACTAGGTCAAGAACAACGTCTCAAGTTTCTGGCTACTTGGTTAAGCTCACGTGACACCAGTTCACAAAATATCTCGTGATACACCCGTAATTCCATTCAACACAAATTTATAATACGAACAACAATATGTATCCTTACCCAGCAATTCACAGATATATGGAAGTTTTGAGGTTCCATCATTGACACTCCATGTGTATTGGCTGCATTGGTACTTGGCATAGATCATTGGAACATTTAGTTGTTTCGGCTGTCCCGAGCCCCAACCATGACTGTATGTCAACACATCGTCCTGGAATCGGAACGTGCGTCCATCTGAACTTGAGAGACCAAAGTAGTATGACTCACCTAAAACATGAATGAATGAATGGATGAATGAATGAATGAATGAATGAATGAATGAATGAATGAATGAATGAATGAATGAATGAATGAATGAATGAATGAATGTTCTTTTTCACCGTACATGTCGTCAGGTATGTTGTCTGAATGAGCAACGCTCTACCTCGTCAGGGCAACATACGTATATCAGACAGTTCGTGATAATCATTGTGGGGTGAGGTGAGGTGAGGTGAGGTGAGGTGAGGTGAGGTGAGTTGAGGTGAGGTGAGGTGAAATGGACGTCGCGTCCAAGATTATTGCACTTATATAGCAACGTGCATGCACGTGTGTGTGTGTGTGTGGGGGGGGGGGGGGGGGGGGCTGCTTGTACTAGTCCGGACTGATGCCGATTTGTAGTGCTAGCCCACTGAGATACCATGCCGCAGATTAACATGGATACCTCATTCAGACACAGAAAACTGACTCCGAGCCGACCAGTCCTTGTTTTAGCCCCTTAATGTCGTGCGCCAGACGGGACAACAAGAAGTACCATCTTTTAACGTCTTTTTGTATGATCGAACACCGGACCTTCCGCTATCCGGGCGGACGCTCTACCACTAGACCACGGACCACGGAGGTGGTCAATAATCATTCTGACCGTCCGTTCCGTATTTTAGGTGGCTTCTTACATCAAGCATAAGGTATTTGAGACCATTTTCTGTCACCATTGATCTCATCTCCTGGACATTATGATAGTCGTAACTGTAGTTTAATATTTACAAGTAACCATTAAGCCCTCATTTCTTGCGTCGTTGATTTTGTTTTATTTGTTTGTTGTTTAACGCCGCACTCAGCAATATTCCAGCTATATGACGGCGGTCTGTAAATAATCGAGTCTGGACCAGACAATCCAGTAATGGACATCACGATCATCGATCCACGCAATTGGGATCAATGACATGCATCAACCAGCCAGCGAGCGTGACCAGCCGATCCCGTTAGTCGCCACTTGCAAGCAGAGTCGCTTTTTACAGCCAGCGTAGGTTGCTGAAGACCTATTCCATCCGGATCTTCGCGGGTCTTGTGTCGTTGATACCGAAACGAGGCCTACATTTTCGTGCCATATTTAGCCTCCCTGGTAGGTACAACAAGTAATAGGTCATGTCTCACATAGATCTTCCAGCCAGTGGGCATCATTCGATGACAACCTTTAACAGTGTCGTTTCATGTGTTCCTCTGATTTTCAGAGCTATTTTGACTTTTACAGCAAATTTTAATCTTTTTCATCGGATAATCCAGACTGGTTATTCTATTGCGTTGACTTATTATAATATACAGTAAACTACGGTTATAACGAATTCAAATGGACCACTAATTTTAGTTCGTTATAACCGTAGTTCGTTGTAAGCATACATACAACATGTATACAGCAAATGGCCGGGACCAAACATTAAATTCGTTATATCCGTCAGTTCGTTATAAGCGTGTTCGTTATAAACGTATTTTACTGTACTTGAGTATATTCACAACTTACAGTCAGCATATGCTTTCAAATAATCTTTGATGAGGTTATTGTCTTTCTCGATTTTGGGTTCTGCTAACTTAGCACCCATCAGTTGACATGAAGTGCTTGCTGAGCTCCATTCAAGTCTGTCCGTTCTGACAGAGTAGCACCTACTGCCAATCTCCACCCATTCCTGCTGGCAGGCGGAGGCCCCTGTAAGACAAAATATTGGTGATAAATCTAAATTAAATTACTCTCATCCGAGACATCAACCAACAATAACACTGACAATGAATTCTCATTAATCAAATATCCTGGGATTATTAAAATTCGAAATGGAAAGTTCGAAGTAACAGGTATAGATCTGAGGCCGAATTGTAGCAAGATGCTTTAACTGTTGCAGAAACTCCATGACTGCACTAACACGACGACATCAACAACCTAATACGTCAGAGATGGACCACGTTCTGGGCGACCCAGAGTTACGGCCCCTGCTCTGGACCGTTGGATGGCGCATCCGCGGAACCCATGCAAACGGCCGTTCCGACAGCTCGGTTAATAAATAATCACAGGAGGATCAGAAACCAGTAATCGCCTACGCGCACTGGACCGCCATAGTACCAATCTGACTAACAGACACCGACGGCTGCAGTGGTGCAGAAATCATGCACGACGTCCTCTGTGTTGATGGACGTCCCAAGTTCAAATGTCACATACAAGTGGACGTCAGCGTGTGTATCACCGTACAAGAGAACGTTATATCAGGCTTATATCATTTTGAGATATCGTTTTCATGGTGGTTCTGTGGTTGTTTTGGGGATATCACTGTACATAACAGTAGACAACGTGTGCAAGGCGGGGGCGGGGGGTCTGGTAGCCTAGTGGATAAAGCGTTCGAGACTAGATTGTGATTTCTTCAACGTCATGGGTCCGGTGTTGTTTTGCAGCAGGCCTATGCATGGCTACACACTGCAGCAGGCGTGCAACACTTTATTCAACAAAGCAACATTCACACGCTTCCCCTGCTGGATGTTTCCCGCTTATCTCTCCCATCGAACATGTATGGGATGAAATGGAGCGACAGCTTGATTGTCATTCCAAAACCAGATAGGGTAAGAGATTACAGAAGTCTCTTGAGGATATGTCATTCCATTCCATTCGCATCTCCTGGGATCCATGTGGCAGATGCACATCAGTGATTCATGCACAGATAGGACACAATCAACACAGGTTGTGAATTTGTGCATTCATCTCCTGTGATTGCATAAGAACATAACATTTATGACCGCGTTAGGGTTTGGTCAGAAATTGTTACATCGAGTAAAAAAAACGCCATGATCCTCTATTTCATTGTCAGTTTTCGTTCGTTTGACTTAACATCTCAACATTATTCACACAGCCAATACAGTAAGCATCTTTTGGTGAGACAGCCTGCAACGTAGTGAACAAGTTTGTTGTCGTTATGTCTGCACTGTATGCCTGTAGATTTGACCTCCATATTGACCCAATTTGGCACCGTTCTTCTCTGCAAATGGTGCATCATCAGCCCTCAGCAATAGGTAGTAGCACAGTGAGGGGGCCCTTGCGCAAATGGTGCATCATCAGCTCTCGGCAATAGGTAGTAGCACAGTGAGGGGGCCCTTGCGCAAATGGTGCATCATCACTCCACAGCAATAGGTAGTAGCACAGTGAGGGGGCCCTTGAGCAAATGGTGCATCATCAGCTCTCGGCAATAGGTAGTAGCACAGTGAGGGGGCCCTTGCGCAAATGGTGCATCACCAGCTCTCGGCAATAGGTAGTAGCACAGTGAGGGGGCCCTTGCGCAAATGGTGCATCACCAGCTCTCGGCAATAGGTAGTAGCACAGTGAGGGGGCCCTTGTGCAAACGGTGCATCATCAGCTCTCGGTAATAGGTAGTAGAACAATGAGGGGGCCCTTGCGCAAATGGTGCATCATCAGCTCTCGGCAATAGGTAGTAACACAGTGAGGGGGCCCTTGCGCAAATGGTGCATCATCAGCTCTCGGCAATAGGTAGTAGCACAGTGAGGGGGCCCTTGCGCAAAGGGTGCATCATCAGCTCTCGGCAATAGGTAGTAGCACAGTGAGGGGGCCCTTGCGCAAACGGTGCATCATCAGCCCTCAGCTGTAGATAGTAGCACAGTGAGGGGGGCCCTTGCGCAAACGGTGCATCATCAGCTCTCGGCAATAGGTAGTAGCACAGTGAGGGGGCCCTTGCGCAAACGGTGCATGATCAGCCCTCAGCTATAGGTAGTAGCACAGTGAGGGGGCCCTTGCGCAAACGGTGCATCATCAGCCCTCAGCTGTAGATAGTAGCACAGTGAGGGGGGCCCTTGCGCAAACGGTGCATCATCAGCTCTCGGCAATAGGTAGTAGCACAGTGAGGGGGCCCTTGCGCAAACGGTGCATCATCAGCCCTCAGCTGTAGATAGTAGCACAGTGAGGGGGGCCCTTGCGCAAACGGTGCATCATCAGCTCTCGGCAATAGGTAGTAGCACAGTGAGGGGGCCCTTGCGCAAATGGTGCATCATCACTCCACAGCAATAGGTAGTAGCACAGTAAGGGGGCCCTTGCGCAAATGGTGCATCATCAGCTCTCGGCAATAGGTAGTAGCACAGTGAGGGGGCCCTTGCGCAAATGGTGCATCATCACTTCACAGCAATAGGTAGTAGCACAGTGAGGGGGCCCTTGCGCAAATGGTGCATCACCAGCTCTCGGAAATAGGTAGTAACACAGTGAGGGGGCCCTTGCGCGAATGGTGCATCATCAGACCACAGCGATAGGTAGAAGCACAGTGAGGGGGCCCTTGCGCGAACGGAGGCAAGGTCAGGACTGAGTGCATTGACGTTGTCCCCGATAGAATAGACATGTGACTCGGCCATGGAGCGTTGTGGGTTTCAATTTTAACAATATCTGTATGTCTCCACAGATATGCTTCATTATAAAATAATATTACAACAACGTAGCTATTACTTTGAAAAGATGAACTGTGAAAAAGTATTAAGACATTACCCATGTTGATATGTCAATGTCAACAGTATCATGTATACCACTAAGATTGGGTCAATACCCCATGTCCCTACAAAACAATAAAAACTGTTTCAGGAAGACATTGTTGTGAAAACTATACTAGTTTTGTTTCCATGAAATGTTTGTTTTCTAATTCTATATTAAACATAAACATTTAAACCCAAATGTGCTTTTTTTCTCATACCTGATTCTCAAGGTGCAAATAACAGTTTGTTTGATCTTCTTGGTTACACATGGGCGCTTTTGGACAGAATACATGTACAGTACTTGCATCAATAGGTAGGTATGCTACAAATTTTCTTTGCGCATACGATCCCTTGCACATGTTGTCAGGGTAACGTTCTTTACGACTGTCCGAATTTTGTGTTTGAGAGCTTGATTTCTTCGAAACTGTTCTCGTCACATACATCACTTTCGTTCATTGCCAGACATTGATGTTTGGTATTGTAGTTTGACCCCAAAACAAAATATCCCCTACCTTTTTTCATAGTATATTTCACTTAATGGAATATTTAGTTCAGTAAGTAATAAAACAGGTGATCAGTAATACATGTACGTATGGCAAAATAACATGAGGCGATAGTGTGAGCATAAATGGTCTATCAGCCGAATCATAGCAGAGGATACACCAACCTACAATGAACATCAATCCTCGTGATCAAGGCAGCCATTGAACGCTCATCTCATGCGCTGGTTTATCCCACAACAAAGCTTACGATTTCATGGAAGCTTAAGCATCACTGAGTTTTTTCCGCTCATGTACCCAAACTTGCAACTTGCAGTACTATCTTGTGTAGAACGGGATTCAATTGTATTGTGCTCGGTTACATCCTATTTCCAGTTCATGGGTATCGGTCTATGACCTTTAATTCATGTTTTTCAAGTATTGACAGGACATATTGATGCTAGCTTGAAGTGGCCGTACTTGTATATGTTGTTCACATTGAAATATCTTGACCTCGGAGTAAAAGGGTAATCGAAAATGTATGTGTGACAATTTAAACAGAGGTGTCACCAATGATTCTTCAAGAAACATGATTAAATCATCTTAAGGATGGATTCTGCCGTTTTCCTGTGTAGATCTGAACATTGAAATTAGTTCCTTGTGTGAAACGGAGAATAATCCCTGTGTACTGGAAGTATACGTGAACTTCTAGATTGATACATATTATAAAATTTGGAGTGGCAGACAAATAGTGGCTTGTGACAAACTTGCCAGGACTGCCAGTTTGCCTGAATCCACCTTTGAATAATATATCCAGTTAATGTAATTCGAGACTACAATGCTTCTTGTAAAGATATATATTGTACTTGATTAATAGGAATTTGTGAGTTGGAAAGATACATTACCTGAAAAAGTGGCGCTCAACCACCAGAACTGGAGTACCGCAAGGACAAATGCTGGCGCCCTCATGATTGTGCGACAGCACGGATAAATACAATTGGAGCTAATGACTGTCTTCGCGGTGTGCCACACGTTGGCAACAAGTTTATATACTCACATCTTCAAAGAGATACAACACTGTATAGATCATAACTCTTCATGGAATGGTGCTATATTAATTCTCGCCTCAGTCTACAGTTATCATATCCTCTATGCATGACATCAGTTTCGTGACAGATTCAACTGAAGTTAGACACGCATGCTGTTACAATGCGGTCTCTGCATTGCCGGGTTGGTAAGAAATCATTGAGCACTTCAATGGAAACTTCTACATCTTTGAAACCATTGTTTTATAGATGCAATACGAGATTGTGGATACATGCAGTTTGATGTTAACATGCAAGGTTGATCCCATTTGACGTTCGTTGTAAAGTACAGTGGTCATGTACAATTATGTGATTTCGCACGATTTGTACAACATGTGAAAAAGTATATCATGCACAATATTTTAAGTTTCATCATACAGAATGTGTGGCACATTACCCTGTTTGGTGGTATGTTATGGCAACTACCACCTGGAATACTGCAACATACGTCCTTCACAATCGCCCCCTGAAAACGGCCCGATCCTATTAACAAGCGGAAATATTCCTCTGAAACTACAACGGACAACTGAACACGAGCATACCTTTTTAGGATTATATTCCTGCTATGGCTGAACTGCCCCACCCCAACCACAACACCATCAACAACTCCACCCCCAGCTTCCAAAAACACAATTCACCTGGGTACCAAAATAACACCAGAAGACTCAGGTAACCAACAACCTCTTAATGCGCCCGATCCGGCTACATCTCAAACATACATTGCATGACCAACTAAAGAGCGATTTCTCACAATCGACATTTCTGAATATGCGTTAATGCTCGTGAACTATGAATCTGAATAAAGAGTTGGATCTTCACTGTTTGCAAGAATCAATTTAAAGAACTATTATTGAAAGACAGGTATCCCATTTGGATAGTTTCCTGGGGACAGTTGCCCTGATTCCGCATAGGTGTATATTTCATATGTATTGATGATCTTTTGGTCAACAGGTTATGACTATATTCGCTTCACTTTACATAACCTGAATGCAGTGAATGAGTTGTGGACAGTATTTCAGTCACATCAGGACTATATTTTCAGGACTTAATAAAGTTCCAAGGCATTTATAGATTCAGTGAACCCACGAACAGAGTATGGTTCTGAGACACCAACAATCATAATGAAGGCGAAAAGGGATTCGGACTGATCGTAACCGTAACAGTATATTCTTGAAAAGTCAAATGATTTTGTTTCGTGTGATTATGTGGTTTTGTGCGTATTGTTGGTTTGTTGTTTGACGTCGCAGTCTGGACGCCGCAATCCAGAGTTTCAGTATTGATCTACCCAGTTGGGAAACGATGACATGCATCAAGCAAGTCAGCGATCAATACCACCCGAGCCCGTCAGTCGCCTCTTACGACAAGCGTGGATTTTTGAAGTCCGGTTCCAGTTCCGGATCTTCACGTGGGTTTGCATGTATAAGTCACAATTTGGACAAAAGAAAGAAGCGCCTAAATGCAGCTGTCATGACCTTGACGTGATGACCTTTCTCACTCAATAAAGCCTTACATGCATTGTATTCCTGTTTACGGATTAGCAGACAATAAATATCGAAAACTGAGAACAGCATCCGAATGGCAATATATATAATTTTCATCCCGCCGACGGAAAAAAAATCTATCACAATAAAAAAATAATTCGAAGTATATATTTTTTACTTAAAATAATTTTATTCCAACTGTAATTAAAAATGAAGATTTATGACATATTTAAGGACCCAAGACAGGTCATTACATGTAATAAATGCAACAACATCTTCTTACGTCGTACAGTTTGTTTGTGTATAAGTTTTAGTGATACAAATATACTAATATTTGAATTTTAATAACGCGCTATATATTACACGGTCCGATGTGTCGTGGAAAGGTCGCACATACATGTATGGTGACACATTTGTTTTGAGTTACAGCCACAACACATGTCGAAGGTGGGATCTAGGGATGGGATCTAGAGACGTTTGCAGCACCCGAGAGTATGGGTGAGAAAGAGAATAACCAACTCTAAACACGGAAATTATGTTTATCTTTCCCTTGGGAATTATTGTCACAGATCTGTGACATTAATTCCCCTGTAAAAGATAAACCATATTTCCTCGTAGCTCGTTAGTTATTGTCATTGTATTTAGCGGTCTAGGTACGGATTCACTTGAAGCTAATAAGGGTTTCTAACGTAAGTGCAGAGTAAACTCAACAGTGCCAATTTCTCTACTTGTCAAGGTCGAACCGATCTATTTACTATCGCTATATTTAACAGTGCTACACAGTACACACACATCTATCTACCTATATGTAAACTGATATTAGTTCTTGTGAAAACTCCTTTATGAATACAAGACAAGATCTTAACGGCTCACACACACATGCATACACACACACACACACACACACACACGTCTTCTAAATTGACAAACTGGTCATCCGAGTGTTGTGTGCATACGGTCAGTTTCAAGTAGGTCCAAATTTCTAACCGGTGGTTCGCATTGAATGAATCAATCGCTTTGATCTTGTGTTAACATTGAATATGTAGTCCACACGCACAAGCATGTACTGCTTGAACCTCGGACTTCTGAAGAGACAAATTAATGGAACTGTCTTTCAACACTTAAGACAAGACTTCATTCAATACGCAGGACATGATGTTGTATGGACGGGACAGTTGTTATTCATGCTAATTATGTTTCCATTATTCCTTTTCTTTCCAATATTTATTACGAAATTAATTGTGACAGGATGACGTCACGGTACATATAAAGTCTGCTTGTGTTGGCGACGGAGCAAGACAACAGGTAACCGTTGATGGCGGAGTACAAAATGAGCGCACTGTCTGTGATTTTCATCGTTGGTAGGTATCAATATGTACTAATTTTTATCGAATATTTTGATTTGTATCGATTGTACATTTGGTTCCTATCTGTGGTCGACAATCACATACAATAAAAGGCAGACTGTTCTAAATTATTTAATGTTTTTCTGTCAAATTTAGACATGTACCATATTGCCTTGGAAATCACATATTTGACTAAAGAAACAATGTGAGTTTGTCACGCCACTCTGTCTCTGTGTCGGCCATGAAGGGCCACCATACATGAACCGTCGAAAGGGCCGGCCACATGTGAACGCATAAAAGGCTAAAGGATTCGAAAATGATCTTTTATCACTGAAACATCGACAGCTTCGTATTTTTTATAACTTTGATTTGAAACCACTATCCTCCCGCTGAAACTTTAATTATACCATTTAGTTATCCTTTCTGTTATGTTCATGAAAAAAAGAACGGCATTGGTGATGAATTCCACATTCTTCATACGTGTCCAGTATTTGAAACATAAATATGAAAATATCTTACCTATACACAATTCTATATGCTTAAAATGAATATTAAACAATTCAGCACTAATATGTTGGAGATGTTAATAAAAATAATATGCACATTAAATTGCTTTAATAGAAATTCCATCCTATATTTTAATACCCCTATGCGTCATACTACGTATATCTGGGTCCGCCTGGAGACTATATTTAATACACGAAGGTATTGTACACTCACATCTTTGTATTACATGAATACTGTCATTTATAACTCAAGTAGCGCTCATCGCACGCTGGGTTTTATGTTGTTCGCGTTGATTCATAATGACACTAAAATAAATGGATGTGAAAAGAAACATCTAGTTGATAAATAAAAATATGGCCAGGGAAACTACAGTCAAAGTTTAATTCATAGAAAGGTTATAGTACAAAATTCTTTCTATATTCAGAGGTTCAGGACAATTTGTGAAAAATGAAAACAAATGCCATCTGAAGTTTACTTCCTCATTGATAACATCTACGTAAAAAATGGGGGTAAGACAGTAAGACAAGAGGTAGGCATCCGCATGTGCACCAACTGCGCCCCCCACCCCTTCTTCCGGTTCTGTTTCTTCACGCATATGAATCGGAATTCCTGCAAGGACTTCGCAAAGTCAAACAAGGTCATTTGGCCAAGCAGCTTAACTCCTTACATTCAGGTACATCGATGATCTGATATCGTTCATTAACAAATAAATAGCCAATTCCCTTCCACTGTTTTACTCACCTGAACGAGAAGTAACGGAGATTATGAGACCGCCCCATCTGTTTCATATTTAGATCTATGCATAAGAGCGACAAAACCCTCTCCACAAGACTGTGACAAGAGAGGTGACTTCTACTTTCCAACAGACAATTTCCCCTTCATGTCGAGCAATATTCCAGCATCTCCAGCCTTTGGTGTTTACATTTCACATCTTTTGAGATACAATCGAGCATGCTCTTTCTACCAAGATTTCAAAGGACGTCTGACGCATTTGCTCAGAAGTTGTTTGATCAAGGTTACAATATTCAAGGCCTCAGTGGAAGCTTTAAAAAAGTTTTATATACCGAACCGCAAAAGAAACGTCACCATGGATAGATATATGAGAAACCTTATTTGTCCAAACACTGTAAACATACTTTGAGACATATTAAAAAGATGAAACTTGGCAAAACTCATCATCAAGGTGGAAATTAAAGTGTCAACTGTTCTTAAAGTGAAACACAACGCGAGTCTCTGAGAAAATGGCATCACAAGTCTGTATCTCGTATGTCCGCCATGTGCATTGATGACTGTCGTGCAACGTCGATACATGGAATGGATGAGGCGGTTGATGAAGGCCATAGGCTCTTGAGCCCACACTCTGCGGAAAGGCTGACGCAGTTCAGCTGCAGTTGTCGGCCTTGGTCGGACGTCATTCAACCGTCTTTGAATCGCGTCCCACAGGTGCTCAATTGGATTTAAATCGGGACTGAGGGCAGGCCACTGCATGGTTCTGATGCCATTCCGCTGGAGGAAGTCTCTTGTTGCTCTCGCAGTGTTGGCACGGGCGTTATCATGCTGAAACTCGTGGTTGCGGCGACGTGCCAAATGAGGTATGGCGTGTGGTCTCAAGACTTGATCAATGTACTGAGCTGCTGTGACACCATTGCCTTTCCCTGGACCGATGTTCTGGAAGACCACAGGGCCGACCCTCTGTGCAAGACCAATTCCATCCCACACCATGATGCTCGGACCATCCCACAAGCATCCGAATAACGTTTCCCACGGCGTCGCCAGACTCTCTCTCTCTCTGCCATCTGCTGTTGAGATACAGTAACGGATCTCCTCTGAGAAGAGGACTCTTCTCCACTGGTGGTGGCGCCAATGCTGGTGCTGTGTTGCCCACTGAAGACGGTCCCGGCGATGACGTGGTGTCAGAATGGGTCCTCCGTGTGGCCTGTGACTATGGAGGTGTCTGCTCGTCAATCGTCGACGCGCGGTGTCCGCAGTAATATGTCGATGGTGTGTCGAGCAGTTTCCGCAGCAGTAACAAAGCAATCTTGAAGATGCTGTCGCACAATCTGACGATCCTGACGTCGGGTGTTGACCCTTGCTTTTTTTATCATCAAATTCCATTTTTCAGGACAAAGTCATGTTAAAATATTAGAAACTTTGACAAACCTTACCCAGATATTTAAATGACAACTTTTCATGCAATGTTACTTTGGATGACGTTTCTTTTGCGGTTCAGTATATTAGTTATGTCGAGGACATTTCAAAATTTGCCGCATCACTGACAAAATTTATGTCCGATGCAATTCCCTATTTTGGCTTGTACCATATGTCCCCGTATTTTTTCAGTTGAACTATTGACATGTCTTTGCATGTGTTTGTAGCGGTGCCACCGGTGGGGAGGATACGCCCACCTTTTCGTGAACACCTGGTATTATTACGATTTGATAGTGATTCATAAACACATGCTCATGCTCATGATATAGTCGGAATTGTAAAGTCGACTCTTTGCATTTGTATTCGATATGGAAAGGGTTTTGTCGTGTGTGTGTGTGTGTGTGTGTGTGTGTGTGTGTGTGTGTGTGTGCGTGTGCGTGCGTGTCTGCTTGTACTAACCCGGACTTATGCCGGTTTTTAACGTACTTTGGTATGAAGCGACCGGGTGCCGAACCGACGATCTTCCCCTGTGACGATACAGAAATACACAAAATTTGGGACAAGATTCTGTAACGGTCTCCTCGTTTTAAGTTACATGCGCACGCGTATTTTCCCAAACAAGCAAGAGAAACAGCATTGCAGATTATCCCGTGTGGGGCGTAAGCACTACAGCCATAAGTCATACTAATGTGTTGTGCCACGATATAGGTTATTGTCACGTTACTTTGATGACTTTTCTATGCCCTGCAACTTTCACATAAGTTGCTTGGGACGCATGCGAGAACTATATAACATCACCTTATGACAGTATTTATCACGCGTTATGTCAACGCGAGGATACATCCACACATTCGGGGTGGTGATTAAACTGAGAGAAGGTCGCAGTTAACGACACCTGAAAGTGCGATTTTCCTATTAGCGTCATTTGGTATCACATTGGGACGTCTCACGTGTGCTTCTCACAAGGGGATTGCCTAAAAGTCGGGCCAAGAAAAGTCGGGCCGGGCCGGGCCAGCGGGCAATACTAAAAACGGAGAATAATAAAACGAAACGTGCATATCTAGGCAGATTTCAAATGTCCAGAAACGGATAGTTTTGCTCATTTAATTGAGTTTGAATCAAATGTATCTTCAGCAATGTAATAAACTGATAATTATAGCTACATACCGAGAGTTCATACCGAAAAGTCAATGTCTTGACTGTGTCTTTACTTTGATGAGAAGGTTTCTCACCGACCTTAGCGTGCAGGGGTGTGATGTCCTGGGCAGGAATTCGAAATGACAGTGTTTTGACTACTATTCTTTCATTAATTAACGTGTTTGGCATACCTAATTAACCTTTACTAATTCATGTTAAACCAACACAGGATGTTTTCTGCAAGTGGATATTCGCGAATGTAATAGGACTGACACGACACCTGTTAATATTTGTCAAAGCGCTTCTAAAATTACAACACATACTTTACATAGACTAATTATAATATCATATCTACCTATATAACACTTTAGTGTCCCACGGTGCTCAAAAGTGAAGCCCTTTTCCCTCTACATTCTCTCTATCAGAAGTGTTTGGCTTGTGTTGGTTTGGCCCAGGCTGTCAAAATCAACTTTAAACACACAGACGTATCTTCCAATGTGTTTACATCTATAGATTAGTGTTATATCTACCTTTATACCAATTTATAATGTCACGGTACATCGTATTTAAAGAAGACAAGGTGCTCAAAGTGAAGCCCTTTTCCCTCTACATTCTCAACATAGTCTCTATCAGAAGTGTTTGGCTTGTGTTGGGTCCGACTTGGCCCGGGCGGTCAAAATCAACTTTAAACACACAGACGTATCTTCAAATGTGTTTACATCTATAGATTAGTGTTATATCTACCTATATACCACTTTATAATGTCACGGTACATCGTATTTAAAGAAAACAAGGGGCTCAAAGTGAAGTATTTTTACTGTATTTTCTTAAGAAAATCTATGTCAGAAGTGTTCGGTCCGACTTGGCCCGGGCGGTCTAAATCATCTTAAACCTCACAGATGTATCATCAAATGGATTCACATTTATAGATTAGTATTATATCCACCTAAATACCGGGGCGGTCGGGTAGCCTAGTGGTTAAAGCGTTCGCTCGTCACGCCGAAGACCCGGGATCGATTCCCGACATGGGTACAATGTGTGAAGCCCATTTCTGGTGTCCCCCGCCGTGATATTGCTGGAATATTGCTAAAAGCGGCGTAAAACCATACTCACTCACTCCACCTTAATACCACTTTATAGTGTCTCAGATCGCTGTAATTAAAGAAAACAAGGTGCTCAAAGTGAAGCCCTTTTCCCTCTACATTCTCAACATAGTCTCTATC